CAATTGCAGTCAAATTATGTTTTCATATGATGCCAGTTCTCCCCACTGTGGAACAAAGGTTTCCTCCTTCACAAATAAAACAACTGTAGGGGTGTGCCATTGTCATCGGTGTGGATGCAAGTTTTAGTTGCCGTACACAGTCTAATTGCTACTGCCTCCATTTGGCCTAATGGCATACTACAAATATTTTTATTTGTACTAAGTAGTCGGGGCATTCTGCTGGAGAAGTGTGAGTGAATAACAGGCCTGCGAAGCTCTGTGGAACAGGATACCGTAGTTACACAGATATCTTGAGTGTCGGCCTACAGATGCCAAGGAGGTTACGGCAGGAAATGCCTTTTGTGACTTTCCATCTGCTCAGCGATACACCACCAAGTACTGACTGTTACATGACTTATCGCGATGACACAGAGTGTTGGAGAAGATTAGCATTAGCATGTCTTTTGCACTGTAAACGTACAGTATATCATCTACCGCCGTGTCCCGAACAAAGGGCGACAGGGTGAGAAGTCACCGTCAGGGGTCCTGTACCTCAAAGATATCGTGTTCCCCTGGTGTCGCTTAACTCTTCTTTTCAATGGCGCTTCACTCTACAGCCCGACATCATGTAGCTTCAAATGTAACTTAGATGCCTCACAAGATAACAGCGCGTGCACTCCCTGTGTCCCATAGGACACATTTCTGCAAAACGACACTGGATCACATGCTCATACATAGAATTCTGGCGTGTCAGGTGTCTACTCCAGCCTTAAATAACGTAGTAGCTTTTAAAAATGGAGTATGAGCTAATTGCAGTAAAAGGACAGATCGGGTAATAGAGAGTAGTAGTAGCAGTAAATAGGTTAGCACCAACATTCAAGTAAGTTCCGGATCTCCTATGTGTTTACGATGAAGGTGATTTATACATTTATGAGCACTGTAATCACCGTGGTTTTTATTCTCTGGCTTTTATTCTCTTTTTACATGTTTTTTTGAATGGACATGTGAAATAAGATCCACTCAGACATTCACACTGACATTCACACCCATGGTCAAATTAAAGTCAAAGATCTACATTTTTTTATTGTAAGGCAAACACACTAACCGCTTCTCCATAGTAGCGTCCTGGTACTACTGATTTCCTATAACAGAAATTGTCCAACTACTACAAACACATATTTTTCAAAAACACAAATGCAATTAAACTAAACCTGCAGTTTGGTCATACACTCTGTCCATATAATCAATATAAGGGTCGCAGAGATTGAAAAGTCATTACTGAATCGGACAGATACGGAAATAATATTGACCTCATGTGCCACTATGTTCAAACTCAGTGATGTGAAAAGGTTAGAATTAATGGAGGTTTGAATTAATAACGGAGAAAAAGGTAATATTCATATATCCATATCACTGGTACCATCAGAAAGCTGCTTGAGGTCAATACATTTTTGTCCTAAATTTTCCAACCCCACCCACCCACCGACAGCAACACATTTTATCACCTCACACCAGGAACATCAGATGACATCGTCTTGATCTTCAAACTGTTGCTTCTTTAAAGGAAGAAAATGTTCAACGGCCAAGACTTGGTCTCTGAAAACTTAACAAGCTGTCAGCCAGAGCTAAAGGTGAACAAGGTAGCGAAGCTGTTCACCTAGTCCTTTCTGCTGATTGCTTCAGCTCTGCCGTTTTTATTCATGCATAATAAAAGTAAAAGGAAGTCTACTAAGAGTCTAAGATTCATGCATATTAATGCTCTTTTAATGACAGAAAGGACTTGAAATGTCCACCTGATTCTGGGTTTGAAACCTGACAGTGTGACCTGCTCCCTGACTGCATGCCGGTGGGCTTTAGCTGGTCTTTCAGCAACTTTTAGCTACTTGGTGAAGTGGACAAGAAGAAACTTTGACTTTAAAATATATGGAAGAGACAGCTCGTCTGCTGGAAGTTTTCAGCAGAGCTGTTGGTGGCTGGGGGAACATTGTCAGCAGTTATTTGTCATAAGTTTTTAATGTATGCCATATTGCTCCTCCATACATGCACACCAGTCGTGACTGTTCTAAGACGGCAAGAGAAGGTCATCTCCGTGTAGAATGTCTTAGAATTAATAATAAAACTGTTTGACTTGGATTAAATTCACTAAAAGTGAAGTATTGAGCCCTGTTGAAGCTCAGCTACAAATAGCTTCTATAAAGGAACAATAGATCATTTTATACTAAGCTAGAAGCTAAGTTGAACGTAGCCAACATAACCAACTTTGCTCTAATTTGTGTTGCTGTTCCAGCAGTAACAATAACAAGACCGATATTTTACCATTGTGTAACTCATGAAATTCACATGAAATCAGTTCTTCTTATTCTTACTATCTTCACCGGCCGTCTGAGTCATGAAGTCATGTCCGTCTCTGCCCATATGGATTGATGATCTGTCCACAAACCCTTTTCTAATACAAAAATGCTTCAGCTTTTGAGTTACAAGAGAAATGACATCTTACGAGCTCCCCTGACCTTGACTTTTACCCAAAGTCTCTATAAATCTTTCTGAAAAGCTTGTGAAGGTTTGTGCCAAATGAGAAGTAATTTGCTCAAAGATGTTCTTCAGGAAAGGACAGATGACCACAGGCATAATGTCCTGGCTGTTGCCGGTGCCGGAGCATAAAAAAGATTACATTTTTAGACATGGCGGCTTGGCTGAAGAAGTCCGGGAACTAATAGGAAATTCAAAAATGAAGTTCCAACTGTCTTAAGGCATCAAAATAATTAATGTCACTTTTTGTGGAAACCACTCTGAAATGATCCACCCTGTCGTTCATTTTGAGGAGACAGATCTGAGAAAACCTGCTTTTCTGGTTCATAATGTAATCATATCCTCAGAGTGTTCTTCATTTTTTATTAAGTTTTCATAATGGTTTAATTATTAGATGATGGATTCATGGATTTCATCACTTAAACTGGATCTTAAAATGAATTTTGTACTTTCTTAAAGTATGTATCCTCACAGAATAGCAGCAATAATTAATGCTCCTGTTTTCCATTTGTATTTTCAGTGCCAATCATAGAGATGACCTGTGACCTCTCATTCGATATAGTGCTTTCCAACAACATCCATCAATTATTCAGCACAAATGACAAGCGACTCAGGTTCGGAAATCATTTTTTTGCCACTGTGTCGGTTTTTAAAGAACAGACGTAATGATTGACTGGTCATGGTCAATGGACAGCATCAAAGGTTTTTGGTGGTTTCATAGTATATATATGGTAAAGTGGCCACACTCTGTATTCAGGAACTACCACAACAGGTCACAGCCCATAATTACCCTTTGTGGTCATTTCCTGTATGCCATGTTTTTAGGCTAAATTTCTAAATGATTGATGCATTAAATATAATACTAATAATATTAAATATTAAAATATATCACATTAACCTTCTTAAAACCTAAATTCAAGAGGCTATAAATGATTTAAGGGGATGATGTCCTTAAATTAAGAACAAAGAACAAAAACTGCAGTCGCTGAGCAAGGTTAATTAATGTCACACCAGCAGCAAAAAAAAAAAAAAAAAGAAAGAAAGAAAAAAGGTCAGCTGTACTGTGTGGCAGACTAAGTGTCAAGTTAGACCAAGTTCAGAGGGTAAGACAGATGGGAATATGAGCAACAGTGGTTCCATTGGTTTATACTGAGAACAGGTGTACACCTACAACACCCCAGGACGGTCTAAAAACTTTCAAGGCCCTTCTTTGTTTCTGAAAATCCATAACTTTTATGGACGTGGCGGACCTCTAGTGCACTAAATCCCCTCTTTCAAAGTTCCTGTATATTACATAGATTAGTTTCATCACCGCAGACAGATTTAAGAGCATGCAATAAAGTTTAGCCTGATGGGACATCAAAGGGGCTTCCAGTAATTTTAAAAATGAGTTTAGTCCATTAGTATGCCGGGCCCATGGTATCGTACATATCAATTAAATCCACTGCAGAAGGTCAGTGTGGCTGGGAACACACTTAGATCTACTTCAGATATGACGACAGTCACACACACTCTGCCTCACTCCTTCCCTGGGGCACCACAGGGAAAATGGAAAAGCCTATAGGAATTGATTCCCTGAAGAAACTAGAAGCAGTTGATGTGCGACGTATGGAATATATGTCTGCAGAAGGGAGCACTACTTACCTTCTCCCCATCGATTCCTGTTTGCCCTTCCGATCCAGGTTCCCCCTGAAATGGCAAGATTGGAAATTGTAAAAAAAGTTCTATTTTTAGTTTACTAACATATACCATGTATCAAATTGTCTTTGGTGTGGAATTTAGGTTTAATATGTAGGTCTGTGATGTGTGTGGCTTTTATTTACAGTACTGTTTAATATTCTATATGATTACATTACATATAAATTGATGTGCTTCCATGTCAAGTGTTTCTATCGTTGTACTGCAGGGTGGATTTTTTGTTTGAAACAAATAATAAAAAATACATTTCCAAAAAAAAAAAAGTCTATGAAGAACATCTGAAGGAGATTCAAGGACATCAAAGATAACAATTTGGTTACGAGAAAACCGACTACATCCCAGGACTGGTCCAGAAATTTTCAAGGTCCTTCTTTGTTCTGACATGCACATATTTTAACAACTTCGATGCCCTCTTTACTCCACTGCATTTACTGACAGCCCTTTTATTGTGTTCTAATAAATTCTATAAATAGCACACCTGATGTCTCTCCAATCTGAAGTTTTGCTGGTGATCCAACGTTTCTAGGCCGTGTTGATATCCAAACGCCACGGTTACGGAGTCAGATACAACAGTGACACCGGAGGATACCGTGTCACTGTCTCACACTCACATGTGCCAATAACAGAGTAAATAAAGCACGTCTTGTCCATGCTGCTACAGTAACTGCTGACGCTGTTCCAGACAGTGTGTGTTTCCACAGCCTGTCCTGAGTGAAACAATTAGAACTTATTATTAAATCAAAGTGATACAAAAATGCACTGTGTCCTAAGATAGGACATTCTGCTCATAGCATCATTTCAGCTTCAGCACAGTCAATAGTCTGTGTAAGATTATACCGAGTCAGGGAACAGGCTGTAGGATGGTCTCAACCACAGATGTCAACTTCTTAAAAACTTATGACCACAAATATCTTCCTGATTAGTGATTCTGTGCAAACCACTCTGCCTGTACTTTCCACAAACTCTGCCAGAAATGCATGAGAGGTTTTGGACCCCGTTGGCACTCTTATCACAGTGTAACCTAAACAGTTTTATGACCTCAGCACATTCATAAAGCTGCAGCAAAGTCCCATAGTAATATCCAAGGTCAATCATATAATTGTTCCTAAAATATCGATAGCTGCATAAAAACCAAACGACAAACAACACCGGATAATGTCTACGTCTAGACACGGGGACCTATTTTTGTCAGAAATGTCTTGATGTATTTTTTTTTTGTTTAATGTAAACTAAGATGAGAAAGAAAATAAGAAAGAAAGTCAACTATGTTTATTAATTTGTAAAGAGTGAATGATGACTTTTTTTAACGCACTTCAACACAGGGACTTTCTTTTCACAGAAGCAACTCAAGCTTAAAATACCATCTCAATGTCATTAAACTCTCTCAGTAGATTAATCAGAGTAATCACAATTAACTGCAATCATGATTAATTCCAACTCATCTTGATAACTCATCATGATTAATATGAAAAAAGAGAAAATGATACACAATGAATATAAATAGTAAAATAAGTAAAAATTATAATAAGGAAAGAAAGCAGACCCTGAGAACAAGAAGATCACTGACAAGGAGACAGGCTCAGGCAGCAGAAGATGCTAGAAAGTGTATTAGCATTATATTAACGCCACTGCTCTTGCATGCAGCTTTGTGCTCTCTAGTGGAACATAAGAGCTATCGCTGTCTCCTGGAGCTCATCTCATATTGCTCAAGTGGAGAGAAATGTGACATTAAGTGTTACAACCGTATTGCATGAATCAAAATTCACAAGCAAATCTGTCAGCTCGCTGTAAGCTCACCTCCTCCAGTGGATGAAGGTTGAGGATTAAGCCATCCACACTGGGCTGTATAACCCACTGATGCATAAACCGCCCCAGAACAATATGTGGTCAAATGGATCACTTAAATATTCAATGACATATCCAGTGCATATGTTTTCACAATCCTGTGTAAACAGAGCAGGTCTCTCTCCCTTTAAGACCTGACAATAACACCCACATCCTAATATTACAGCAAGTGGTGCTTCCTCCTGACATCTCCACCCTCAGTAACAGAGACCGGCGCATCAGGATTACCTGAAGCAATATCAGTGTGAACAGTAAGAAGGCAACAGAGCAAAGTTTTCCATTAAAAACCAATGGGTTTTCCCTCACACTGTGATAGTCCAACTCTATTGCATTTTTTTGTTACCTTCCAACTCTAGTCTCCTAAATTGTGTTTGACCTAACTGCAGAAAGTGCAACATAACCGAGACACCAAGCTTCTTACTTCAACCCCCCCTCCCCTCCTGCTACAGACAGCCAGGGCATCTCTAAGAAGTTGATATTGCAGCCACAAGGACATGATCCATTTCTGGCCTCCCTCACAGGAAGACTGCCAACTGTGTCCAGTGGGGCGCTGAGCCAAGCCAACAGCACCATTGCTCTGGAATAAAAGCTTTTGGTCTCTGCAGCAGTACGAGTGTCCCCTGTGTGAACAGGGCATCTACTTGTTGGTTTAATTACTTTTTTTGGATTGCTTTGTTGTCTGTAATGCTCCCAGGACACAGTGAATTCAGGGATAAGAGAAAACCATCCGAAAGCAGAGTTTCAAAAAAAAAAAAAAAAACTTTCTCACTAAAGTATGAAAAAGAAAACACACGTCCCAGAAAATATGTCAACGCAAAATCGAATAAAACCATATATGGGAAAGTAATTGTTCCAAACAGACAAAAAAGTTACAAAAAGGTTGGCACAGAGGCAACTTTACCTTTTCATTTCATTAAATTTGAATTTTAGAATTCTGTAAGATTTCACCAATTATACACACACAACTACAGCATATCAAAGTAAAAGTAAAAACTATAAAAATATTTTTTGTGCAAAGGAATTTGGCAAACCAAAATGAAGGAACCTCTCAGACAGTTACTTGTTTCTACATTTTATAGTTTCTCTCAACCTTACTGGGTTGTAGTATGAATCACTGTAACAACACAAAAACCTTTAATTTTTGTGTTAAAAACAAGCTATAGTGAACCAAACTACTGATTTGGAATTGTACTGTCCTATAGAAACGACAGAGTGATTAGTGGGTTTTGCAGTCCAACCTTATGTCCTGGGTTTCCTGTCGGTCCGACCTCCCCTGAGTCCCCCTGCAACAGGAACAACACGGTGTCATTAGTGAAACGTCTCCCTGAGTAGCTTTAATGGAGACTTGTCATTTCAACAGTGACCCTGCTCCTACAGCTGTTCCATAAGTTCTTGTTGACACAGTGGCTCAGCAGCTGCAGCTCAGGTTACTCTTCCCAGCAACTGTGAAGCATGAATCCAGACCTTGTTATGAGGGTGTTGTATTGTCTACATTATTGTGTTTAAAATACACAGGAGGGCATAGACTGTGAAGAAGACTACTGAACGACTACAATGGTTTGTTTAGTCAGTGTTATTTTACATGACTCAATGGAAATGGAAAGAAATCGTTGGTAAACAAACCTTATAGACGGAGGATCGGGTAGACCGTTGGCCAACAAATTAAGCAAACATGGTACTTGCTGCAAACTAAGAATCTAATTACAATAGATGTTTGAGATTGTGGTCACATCTCCATTACAAGCCCCATTTGTTAGAACTTAATAGATTTGATGGAGATACAAGCAAATGTTGCCAAGCCTAATAACCGAGATGGCATCTACACCTCGTGGATTATGAACTCATTAGTGAAGCCATTAGTCTAAACAGCATGCCAACCCAGTCTGTTCAGACTTTCATAACTACTTAGAACCTGCTCTATAAACATAAAGTTCTTCAGTACAATTAATAATGGGCTCTATAAAGCATCTGTCACAACACTGGGTTCTGTGGCTGCAGAAGATAAAAAGTGAGTCTAGAGGTTAGCGTATTTAATTTCTGTCACTTATTTTACCCATTCGTACACTCATGAATAGGTTGGAAGGAACCATCAATAAAAATCGAACAACAATTCAACATCGATGACTGCAAGAGGAACAATGCTTTGGCTAATCAAATCAAAAGCTGCTCCGATAAAAAACAAAAACAAAAAAAAACTTTCTCCCATTTGCTTCAGATGCACAGACGGCTGCAGATTGAATTAGAGTAAGTAATTAAAAACACAAGAGCAGAATAGTTAAAGGGGAACAGAAACTGAGACTAATGTGAAGAGAGAAGCAGTATACAGTCTTTGTTTTTCTTCGCTCCTTACATTAACGCAGGAGCTGTAAATCTGCTGACGAGCAACACAGAATGGATTTTCTTTTTCAAGTTAGCCACATTCTTATAACCCACCACTTATCTGTTTGATTTCCTGGGGGATCCTGGATTAATTATAACAGTTTAATCCCCTTTTGCAGTGAATTACAAGCCTCTATCAAACTCTGTCTGTAATGGAGGATATTACTTTCAATTGGAGTAAAACAGCCAAAGTAATCCCCCACACAATTTTCAAAGAAGTGCTCCGTGTAGGTCACAGTGATTGGCCCGCAGTTCCTATTAGGCTTCTTTAATGCTTCAAATTGCCCAGATGTCTTTGATTAATCTTTACAAAGTCAATACATACTCCTTTTTGGCCTTTTTAATTATAGTCACTGGAGCTCCCTGGATAAATTAGGGATCAATGATCAAGGATTAAATAGTCTATAAGAATATTTGGCAAAAGGTGCTTTGGCAAAAGAATTCCCCACAGAGGTTAGGACAAAGTCAGGTGGTCACTGTAAATAAAGGAGATGGATACACCATTTTCTGCCAGAGCCAGATGTTGTACAACAGCTCATCATCCATCTGGGTCTTAAAAAAACCAACTTTTTTTTTTCTTCCTTCAAGAGTTCAAGGAATAGAGTGTCTCTTTACTTTTCACCTTGTCCAGGTTTATGCTCTGGTTCAGTCTCAGCAGTGAGAGCTTTAGTGAATAAGCACCATAGTGGTCTTAGCCTCCTTAACAATTCATTACACTATGCATGAGAAGATAAAGAAAATGAACAAGGGGATTAGGAGGGAAAGAAGGTTGAAATTAGAGGGTGGGCCCTGAAGATTCAACAAAGGTGAGTCACAGGGTGAAGCGTGTCAAGATTTTATACTTTCTATGTTAAAATAATAAGAAATAAAGCTATAAAAACATGAGGCAATTAATGACAAGCAAATTTGCAAATTTTGGCAAATGTGTTCTTAAAAAAGGTCGAGATATTTTCAAATTCAATTTTTCTTATAAAAAAAAAGAGACAGTCCTCAGATTTTCCATCTCAGCCACTGAAGGGTTGCTGTAAGAATTTCATAAAAAAATAAAATTAAAAAAAAAACACCTGAAAACTGTAGCTACAGCGCCTCTACAGGGAATAAGGGAAATAAAAACACACTATGTTTATAAAGAATTATTAAAATGCTTTCATTTTTATTCCTCAAGATTGGGGTGTCATTTTAAGCTCCCGTGGGCCACACAAAACGGCTTGGCGGGCCGCATTTGGTCCCCGGGCCTTAGGTTTGACACATATGCTCTATATAAATACAAAAAATGGCTTTGCATATAAGAGTAACATTCTTTTAACTTTACAGGCTGATTTTAACTAAACATGTTCCCCTCCATTTAAAGTGTGCTGTATTTAACCTGTGATGTCACTGGATTGTGCCAGTGTGCCAATGTGGAGGTTCACAGTCTTGAGGGCGTAATTTAATCGATTTATTGTACCAGCCTATAATAGGATTTGTTATGAATTCTTTTGTTCGGTAAATAAATAAATGGTGCCAAATATTGATTTGCAGAAAACAGATTTCAGTTGTTAACAGCATGTGCTACCCATTCAATGCACAAGGCCAGTATAATAAACAATAAAAAATGAACTGTCTCTGTGCTCCTGAACAGCAGTAGTGAGTGATGTCATCTGCGTAATGCACTACTTTCATACCTGGATTGATTTTAACAACAAAGTATGTGGATTGAGGGTCTCTTTTTATTAGATTTGCTCGGCCAAACACACAAGACTGCAGGTAAGTCTCCAGTATCTGGGCTAGTATCACCTCGGTGGTTCGGTTTACAGGATAATCAGTGTTAAAAACAGAGCCACTTTATCTGTAAGTATATTTCAAAATGTAGGACGTTAAGAAAAAAAAACTGATGTAGTGTTGAGTTTTTCAGGTTGGAGTGGATTGCAGAGATGGAGTAAATCTCCATTCCCCACTCTCATCCTGAGACCATTCTAATTATATAGGACACTGGCCCAAGAGGACATTCATCCTTATCATGCGTACAGTATCACCACCTCTTCTATCCTGCCTTTGAATCCCATTCACACTGAGGCCTGTTCTCCCCTGGGTTTGCTTTAACCTTGTACAGATAGCTAAAAAGAGCTTGACTGAGAAAATGTGATTTGTCTCAGGAAACCAGTTCTTAACGGAGCATCAAGTTTTTCCTTCATGTTTCTCACAAATAACACAACACCCACAATTCTCAATAACTGCAGGCATTTCCTGCCTCCTGAGCTGACATGTATAAGAAATGATCTATTTTTATGGTAATTGGGAACATTTTGCAGACAGTGGGGGAAAATCACCTTATAAAGAAAATTGCCTGCAACTGAGCAGCGTTGACTGCAGAACATGAGGTTTGTGTGGGACACCACAGGAAACGTGCACTTGGACCCAGGGCTGTTTGTGTTTTGTTTGTTTTTTTCCTGACAATGGAGTGTATATCGCTTTTTAGTGTCCTTCAAATCCAGTCGTCTCTGACCTTAAAGCCCAAGGACATGCCCTTTTTGAAGGGTTAATAATATTGCATTTTCCATTTTCATTTGGCAGAAAACCTTATGTAAATACTGCACATGCATAAATCCAGGACCTGACAGGGGTCGTTTATACCTTGTCTCCTTTGTCCCCCTTTTCTCCTGGCAGTCCAACTACACCTGGGAGTCCAACATCTCCCTGTACACAGAGAGTACACATTAGTTAGATTAACATGTTCATCTTAAGCCTTTTGTAGATAAAATTAGATCTCAAATTTATATATATATATATACATAAATATTATTTTGTTCCTTTTTGTAAGTAGAGTTTATTTTTTATATGGACTGTATTTCATTCTGACCTGAAACTGAGCATTTTTCTGCTAAAATACTTTCTGGCATTAATCCATTTTCTGGCACTAGTCCTTTTAACTGGGATTTAATGCCCACAAAGATGCATGTAAATCAGCACTGCTTCACTTACAATAGACATTACACTTAGTTAATTAGAGGGCCTTGTTGAGTGGAATTGATTGTACCTTTTCGCCTGGACAGTGACATCTGTCATTTGAGTGTGAGACCGGCTGAGACAGCATCTGTGGAAGCTGCTGTGTAACCAGGGGAGGGGGGGCCGTCCCATTAAAAGTCTTCTTGGCTTCACACTGGATCAATACAGAGATTTGATGTGTTAGAGCCTTTTATTTTTTACACCTTTGCTTAAGGGAGACTGGCTCTAAGAAGTAGAAATAATATTATAAAAAAGTGAATTCACTTTATTATTATAAAGCTTTAAATTCCCAACATTAATTCAGACTGTGTGTTGAAACAGTCTTTCACTGAGGAAGGCACGATTCACTCTGAGTAATTCTAGACTCCCAGAAAACTGGTAAAGATATAGCATGGCAAGGGGTCAAAGGTCATTTATCCATTAAGTGTTGCTGTTCCATTAGCACGTATTGATTATACAGTGATTAAGTTATTAAGTTTCCGTCTGGGGACACATATCCTCAGTGGCCAAAAACACAGCCTGTTATACTTGCAATGCGTGATCATATTATTCTGTCGCTGAACAGAAATATTCACACTATTTTATTGGCTGACTTATACAATTTTGAGTAAATGCAATGCATCTTCAATATTTGTTTTACAAATAAAAAAAGCAATTTTTCAATGTGTAGCAAACAAATTCACATCAGTAAATGACATTTTCTTTGCTATGCTTTTAAACTCTGATGCACTTTACCTTTGGTTGCACGAGCTCACAGCAGTTTTCCATCTCAGCCATATAGGGGTCACAGTAGATCAGAATTTGTCTGACCTCCACCTGTGGGGAAGGAGTGAGAAAAAGGTTTTTTAACTTCTTCTCACCTGCTTCTTACTGAATAGCTGACTTGTTTTTTGAAAGCATCTTTAAGTATTAAGACAGTTAAACCATTTACATCTACATTACTCGTGATTGAATCACAGTGCCTAATTAACATAATTCTCAATCTGCAGGTTATGGACCTTGACAGTACCTGGAAACAAATACACACATGGGGAAACATGCAAACATTATTTTCATGTGGGAAAACAAGGAGAACATGTAAAAGACATCAGCACTGGGACCTGAACCAGAAATCTTCTGGACCTGAAGTAAAAGTTTAAAACTGTGGCCCAAAGGTCAGACGAGGTTACGACCTGATTTCCACCTGCTTCCGACTTTAATTTTCCGAGGCAGTGACATATCTTTGCAAATGTTGTAGTGTCAGCTGTTAATGCTACTTAAGCTGGGATTGTGGTGTTGGGTAACCAAATGGCATAGCTTGAGCTAACGTTTGTTAGCACTTTGAGGCACCCTGCTGATTAAGCATTACACATACACGTACAAGGCACAATACAGGATTTGCAGGGATTATGGAAATTTGCTCATGAATCCTTTTTAACTTCCTTTGGGAAGTTAATTAGGGATGTTGGGAATTAGGAATGCAAAGATGAACAAGAGGCACAAAGGAAACAAATCAATCTAAGACAATGTGTTGAGTATGAAGCGTACATCTACAGGTCGACCATCTTCCATCCGTGTGGTGATCAGTGTTTTTCCACTGGGGTCAATGCCGTCCTTCTCGTCGGTCAGCCTCCTCTCTATGAGCTTGCAGTCCATGTAAAGTGACACCATGTTGCTCTGTAAAGAAATGCTCAGCTTGTGCCACTGGCGATCAAAAAGGCCATGTAGGTCACGGCTCTTGAACGTGTAGCGCAACGTGTTTTTGAGCACACCCTGGAAGGAAAGCTCCAACACTTTCTTATTGCCATCCACCACGACAGACACCTGAGGAGAAAGCAGAGGGACATCAATGCCACCATATTGTAGCTATATGTAGAGGTGGATATTGATATGTACCGTTATGTGATATTAAAGCACAGAGAGTGGCCCCACCTGACTGCCTCCAGATTGGTCAAAAATCTGCCAAAGATACCAGCGGTCCTTTTTCGTTGTCCTCCTTACCCGGAAGATGGTGACAAAGGAGTATTCACTTGAAAGTCCATTTGGAAAAATGGATCTAAACAAACATAATTTGATACAGTCAAACTTAAATAGAAAAACATAAGGAAAGAAAATCACAGTGTCAAGTGTCTTTTCTTCATTTTGAATCTAACTTCTTTGGAAACCCTCACAAAGGGACACAACAATGAACCTGTCAATTAAATTCAGAGATCAATAAACATTTCAATATCCTCCTACTGAGAAAATAGTCAGAGGAGGAAAACCAACAAACCTGATTCCATTTAGCTTGATTAATTTCTATACTGACTCCCTTGGTTTTTCTTTAATGAAAACACACACGTAGAAATATATGGAAGGGATGCAAATTTTTTACCTCTCTTAAATTGAATACCGCACTCTACAGCAAGTACATCAAAACTCTTCATTTATAAAGGTATTGATAAAACTATATATAGGTATTTTATCATTTTATACAATATAAAAAGACAACCTGTCAACCGATACGAATCCCAGTGTTTTTATTCTATTTATTTTTATATTACATTTATATTTTTAATTTAAAATATTTTCAGAGATGTCATTTGTCTGATTAAGCACATGTACGGTGGAATTATTAGATACATTTTACTCATATTTTACCCAAAACTTTATTAGATGAAAACCTTTGCTCCACAGTTGTCTGTGCCACTGCAAGTTTTTATATTTTCATTAAAGTATATTTAAGATGAATCAAAGTGTGCACAGGAAAAAGAGCATATGGAAGAAAAAACAATCATGCATGGTCCAAATGTTATTACAACTTTTTATTTCAAGAATCAGAGTTGTTTATTTACCGTCTCCTCTCTGAACTTTCTCTCTGCATTAAAAACAAGGAAATATTCTAACCTTAACCTCTTTGGCGGACTGAAGTCACCACTCAAAAGTAGAGGAGCATAAACATAATAAATCAATCTCAGCAGAAAATAATAACGCAATGAGAAGGTCGATGAGAAGGCACAGCACTGCTGGAGTAAAACAGGGGTCTTTTTTTGGACAGGTTGAAAATGAGTTTTCACTCCAATATATCGTCCTCCTCTTCTCTCAGAGCTTCACAGACTGTTCTCCAGCCATTCCTCCAGTTCTTTCAAATTGCACAAACGGTACATGACTGACAAGAGTCAGTGAACAATCTGCAATCTAGGAATTTGTGCCTTTCATTCCAACTCAAGTCCTAAACGATCTAATATAATGGACTTCCTCAGCAGCACCCTCGCGTCTGCTTTCTGTTTGAAGTCTGAGGCCGACACTAAAGTCCCCACCTAAGCCTGCTCTTATTTCAAAACACGGTCTCCCAGCACACTTGATCTAAGCTAAGAGCCCACAGGGTTAAAGTTCCTGACCTGGTGCTGATTGCCATCAGCGGCTAAGCAGTTCAACCTGCACCTGAGTGTGGGCGAGTTGGTTTAAAAACACCTTTTTGCAGCTTTTTGAAAAATAGGTAGGGCTGGCAAAATGAACTCGGGTTAGGGAAATACTTAATGTTAATACTTAATTTAATGTTAAATTAGTCACATTCATTTTTTAAACACATTATATCACATAAAATGATTCTCGAAGTTTTTCATACTAATAATTCCATAGTAATAATTACATCATGTGGAGTCACAGATAAAAGGGTTTAAAAATACATACATCTATCTGCTGTCATTCTGTATTTATTATTCTGCGCAAAAATGGTTATTTGTATCATGTATTTGAGATTTGATTTGAAATTTGAGTTGATTAGATCTCAGTTAATCATGATTAATCGTAATAAAAAAATAATGTTTGACATTCATACAAACAGTCCTGCTGGGGGGCCATAAAGAATGAGTAGAAAATGATTTTCATTATTTCAAATGTTCCCTTTGGATGATATGGAAACACTGTGTGCTGTCCTGCCAAATTGCTTAGCCAAGTTCCATTTAAAATGGGCTAATTTACATAATGTGCTTTCCAAAATGTGTGATTATGTCCTGTGTTGTGTTCAAGGACAATGTTACTACAAGGTAAGACTCCTCACTGCACAATCAGGGAGCCTGGCTCCAAACACAATTACAGCGACATAGGTAACAACAATGTCATTTCTGTGACCTATCCAGAACAATAACCTGGAGTACACATAAAGGGATGCGTAGCAACACCACAGTGAACATCTGGAAACTATCAATAGAAAAGGAACATGCCCCTGACAATGTGTAGTTACGTGTCTGAAACAAACTCTTGTCTAATTAGGAACAGTGGTTTGACAGAATGCCACAGCAACACGAACGGCCCGGAAGAGAGTCTCCCGGAAGCGGCTTCAGTGTCCAGGCCACATGTAAGAAACTCTATCTGGGAGGATTCATTTAAATGAGTCAGAGGAATCAGATTGCCTTTGCTGCAACAATCAAACCTCAAATGCCAGCCTAGTTGGCTCATATCTCTATCACTGACACACAATCCTCTCACAGATTAAAGTAGGCTCTAACATGTCTGTTTCTATGCTTAATGCATCATTCATGCTAGAACTTTAACTTCCTCCCAGCAGGAGTCCCCTTTGCTGTTTGAATACCGAAGAACTGTGCCCGGCAGCATGATAAATGGTAACTACTGATCAGGCCAGATGAAACACATGCCTGAAAAGGGATGTTTGTGTACTGCTTTGTTAGCAATAATCCACTGTTTACATAAATAGAAATCCTGAAAATGAAATGTGTTAAAAATAATTTTCTTCAGACCAGAACTTTAAAGTAGGTTAGTAAATGTTAGGTCCACTGGTACACACATTTTTTAAGAGTCTCAACATAAACTTTTATATTAATTCAGATTCAATTTTTACATAATGCTAAGTGCCAGAAACCTGACGGAGGCTCTCTCACTCAGTCTGTGGTTTGAAATCCCACTTTCTATCAAACTGCAAAACTTATGTAAAAATGTTTGTTCCTCAGAAATAAACCACAATCTCTCACCATGTAATTAGTTTAGTTTGATGTAGGGTGGTGGAATCGAATGCTTCCTAGGACAGTGAACGCATCATTGAAATGCCTCAGTCTGTGATTCCTTTCCTTCCTTAGGGTTAGCTGAATTAGCCAAAGCAGGCTGTTTAGTTCCATGAAATAAAGATAAAGATTGATGCACAATTTACCTCACTGACGTCACACCACAAACACGCCTGGAACAAGAGGTACACAAAACCTGCAAAGTTATTTTTAGCCCTGGGGTTTTTAGAAGTTCATTTATAAAGGTTGTTTTTTGGGCTTGTTTAGAAAGTGCAGCTCCTAGACCCGCTTCTGTTTGTCCTACTTGGCTTGTGATTGGCTTGCACTTTTTGTCTTCATTGTTTGAGTTGTTCTGTCTTTTTAGCCCTGCTGAGACCAACGAAATATACCCATGCTAACAATACCAAGAACATGTATTAAAAAAAGACAGTGTAACAATGACTGGGAAAATGGAGAATAATAGAAGGTTAAAGGCTGGAGCTGGCTTGTTTTTGAAGACCTGGTTATTTGTTTCTCTCCTGAGACCTGGCAACAATGGTTGCAGGGCTCAAATCACTTTGACCCACGGATTTCACCTGAACTTGAACTAAAAAGAGGGTCATGTAAAATTAATTGGCAGGCCACGTGTACCCTCTAGGCAATGGATGACACCTCTGTCTTACACCAGTTTTACTGGAACTATAAACTAGCTACAAACCTATAAAAACATGTGTGTGTAGACCAGTCAAAATAAAATGTTATGCCTTTACAGGTTTGAATATCAGATGGAGGAAGAGAAGAGAGCAAGAGCAAAGACAAACACACATTAAAAAGACAGGCGGCATTAGCAGCACTGAGCCTCAATACAGCATGAGAGCATGGTTAAAAAGAGGGTGCGTTTTACGGAGCAATTTGTCACATCACACCATTGTTCAATGACAGTGTCACATTTGATCTGAGTAGTATAATATGCACTTTGCCAAAAAGCTGACAGAACATTAGCCAGACGCAGAGTGGAGCATCTATCTCTGTTTGTCCTGCTGGTAAAAAGTAAGCAATGCTTTAGAGGCTGTGGCGAGGGCAGTGGGGCAGTCCTGCTTCGTGCAATTGCCCTCACTTTTCTCCCTTCGCTGACATGGAGTATCACCTGTCAAAGTACTTAGATAATTGGATATGAGCGGGATGAGAGCTTGACCACTATAACCAATGACACTGTCAGCAGTGTCATTGAGAACCAGCATCCTCTTGCACGATGGGCCCACACCGAGGGAAGGGCTGAAGTAAATGTATTTTCAGCGTGAGTGACTGAACAGGGTAGATCGCAAATCAACTAGCTCAAAGATTCCACCACCTTTCCACAAAGGTAGCGGCAGTAAGTGTTTACACTTACATGTCATGTAAAAATACTAAGAATACCCCCCCTTCTCTAAAGGACAAAGATAGGCGACATTTGGCTTTGACAACGTAAGGAAAGCAAACAGTAAACATCTAAAAATACTTATTTAAAATCCCAGGCACTGTTGTAACAACACATTTACACTCAATTCCACTGTTTATGACCTTGAGTGGGTACAGCCACTATGTTCTACAGTATGTAATATTTTTTTTAAATTAAAAATATAGTCATAGAACATCCATGTGAATTAATTTCAAATTGTTAGGATACATTTTAAAGATTCCTTATATTCAAACATCATTTGAAATGTGCTCCATTGTCTGACCTTGTGGCAGAAACCATCAAGTACTGTATGAATTTCAATGGAATAATTTATTGTCAGTAAACCTTAACGTGAACTTTAAGATTCAAGGCAAAATGATCTACACCTTTAGAAAAGATAAATCAAATAAATAGACTGCATATGTTGTATTTGAATATCACCGTATTTAAAGGTGCATCACAAAGCAGTTATGTTTTCAATCAGAAATGAGGTACTGTATGTGGAAATATATGACTTCTACAACATCAGATAAATTCAAAGCCTTTTCAGGGAGACAAAGAGTAATAGCCTGAACGTTACATCCACACTGTATATTACCTTGGCCACACACAACTGACTGCACCTTACAGGATGCTTGTATTGTGCTCTGGTTTCATCACAGGAGCAAGAGAGAAGTACAAGTGGAGTGGCGTACGGAAAGATTATTTACTGCATTGTCGTCAATGTGCGGACTGTCTCTGTGAGTTGTCCTCCAACAATGCAAGAAGCGATTGAAAAGCGATTCAGAAAATAAATTCACATGCACTCTAACATAAAGCCCACCGATATTGTCTGCAACTCACATTGTTGGCTTGATAAGTGGACTGCTTCCCAATCTAAATGAAGGCAGGTCTTCCATAATTGTCCCTTTTCGAAGTAGAAACTTTTCGGTGAGATCAAACCCTGTGAAGAAAACGACATATCAATTCATATAAATCCTCCACAATCCTATGTTGGAATATTAAATAAATAATAAATTAGCTAAGGTCGGAGCAGTGCACACCTGTGATTTGCAGAGGGCGATCTAATGCATCAGAAAATCTGTGGTCCTCCACACTCAAAGGGGGACATGAGTCATCTAGAGAGGAAAAAGAAAACCGTCAACAAGGTTAATTATATTTTATAAGATTAATAAGAATAAAGACAGGGGAAAATAAGTGATTTATTATATTGTTACGTTTTTTTAATATTAGAAATTTGGAAGACCGGTTGGTTTTGTAATTAACATAACTAACAGTAATCTGTTTAAATCTAAATAAAATCTTATATTAGATAAAGGGAAATGCATGTTTTTTCCTTGAAAAATAGTAGGTTTAAGAGAAAGATAAATGTTCCATGAAGGCAGAGAGCTGAGGACAAACACACATACCTGCTTGTTCATTCACTGCCATTCCAACGGAGCCAGGAATGGAATTTAAAGTCCAGAGGAAAGCAGTCCATCTCAGCACACACATCATGGTTCAAACACTAGAGAGCAGTCCACTTCAAAACCTGGGTGTAAACACAATACATTACACCAATCCATCTGTTTAAGTCCCTATATTTGTGAAAGTGACTCATTGAGGCCAATGGATTAAACCAACAAATCAGCCTAGTGTTGATTAGATGAGTATCGTTGCCAACGATGGCAAAACTAATAGCGCACACAAGCAAACTGTGTTGTTCTGCTGATTTTACTGATCTGTTGTGTGGCTGGTTGTGAACGAAGCACCTCAGATCAGGGTTTTATTCATTCAGGAAACCTACTGTAAACAGGGGGTAAATGATGATGATGATAAGAATGAATTAAAGTTTTAATTCTTTCAAGTAAGGCCACAGTCAGCAAGGCTACAGTCAGTTACTAAGATACCAAGGCTGTAGGTTCTATAAATCATATTCAGTTGTGCATTATGAACTCTCTTTCTATATAGAAATTGACTGTTACTGTAACTAATATAAATATTGGCTTTTTACTTTCATTCCCACACTGTGGATTCATGGAGGCCTCTTACAGCATTCGTGGTGAAGTCAGTCAACAGGGAGAATGCACTTCTTTGCCATTCATTCATTAGATTAGTGAACACCTGCCATACAGTGATGAATAGAGATGTCTATACTGGGGATAAATCATTAGACTCTAAGCTCTGTTTATGTTAACATTTCAATTGATAACCAGGGAGCCGGCCTGCCTTACGTTCTCTGCAGACTGTTTGTAATTCATTAGGTCTGCATGTCATCAACACAAATTAGCAGTGGAACCATGCCGATGCACTCAATCAGTGCGGGATACGACCAACAACAAGAACAACAATGGGATAAAGACAACACAATAGGTATGCATTACCATGACTGCTGTTACTCTCAATCTAGCAGATTAGCAGGTGACAATAATTAATGAAGACGTCTCCATCTGTCACTGTTTCCGCATGAGTTTACGGTAACTTTATATAGACGTTATTTAAATACATCATTGCTGAGTTGTCCTGTGTTTCCATGTCAGTTCTTGGTCCTGATGCCAAAGCCTTGATCTTTGTTTCTGAACTACTGCGTTAACACTCTCTTGTGTTTGATGTGTAAGCTGTCAGCAGTGTGTTGGTCAAGGACACCTCGCTGAAGGGCCCAAACCTGGAAACCTCCAGTTACAAGCAAGTCTCTTAAATCACTGGACAGCGCTGCCAAACAAAATGTTCTGAATTAATGTCATGCCATTGCAAGGAAGACGAGGATTTTTTTAGTCGTCCTGCACGATAAGAGTCTTCTCTGCATGGCACAGTCGGTAAAGTACAGTAGAAGTGATAGCACGCCAAGTAAACACCTACAGTTACAGCTTGAATAGCTTGCATGTAGAATCACCAGGCTGACAATAAACTACAGTAGGTATGATTTATAATTTGTCTTTTTCTTTCTTGTAAATCAGGATAGGATTAATCTTAATCAAGAATAGTAGGATGCAGAACACGAGTTCACAAAAAATATCCACAAACAATATGACTCATATAAGTAGGTTTTTGTGACGAGAAATTGCTGTGGAGAAGTGCACAGAATTTGCCTCATACATACTGAATTAAAGAAAAGCTATGGTTGATTTTGACAATTAGCAATTTAATATTGATAAACTTACTAAGAAAATGTCTAAAGAATTGTTGTGATCAGTTGACTGCTCAATAACAATGAAAAATCTCAAATTGTGAATCTAGATTGGTCATCACACTGTGGTCTTCATCTCCTAAAGTGCCCAAAATGAACAATAGTCTAATGCAACATATTCAAGTAAAGCTAGGCTTTGTATGTGACAATTCATCGCTGATGTGAAGGCTGGAGTTGTAGTAACAACTGGAACGTCCAGTCAAAACTTTTTGGAATTTTGGAAATCAGCACTGAGATTGACACATGATTAAAACAGTCAATGTTGCACTCCACTTGCAATATTATTTTGAGCAGTGGTCAAAAGCATTGTAAAAGAACTTCCCTTATTCCCCCAGCTACTGTGTTTAATACTACCACATCTTCAGTTTTGTTGAATCCCAGCAACACATACTTATTTATGACCCCATACCTGCAGACCTCCAACAACAGTCATATGTTGAAACAGGAAAAAAGTATTTCTAGATTCATTTTTACCACATAATGAACCCCAATCTAGCATGCTCGTTGTGCGTGCAGGCCCGCCTTGACATGATGTATCCAGATAAAGTGAACATGAATGTGCAGTAGCACTATAAAGGTATCATGTTTCCTGTCTGTGTGTGTGAAGGCACTGAGGCATTCCCATCATTTCTGCAAATGTATGCAGCACACAAAGAACTTAGCCTGCAGTCACATTTAATCTCTGCTCTCTCCTTGACTGGTTCTTATTAGTGAATATTGTGTAGGACCTGAACCCACACATGATTATTTTTACCACATTTACTTTTGTAGACAGCTGTACTGTCTGCTGCTGAAATCCTGAATCAGTATAAAATAAAACTGTGTGTTTAAGTGGGATGTAGTGGCACAGTTATGTACACACACAGAGAGACAGAGAGAGAGAGAGAGAGAGAGAGATAAACTGCTGTCTCTCCATCACTCACGTGCACACTTTCAGTCATTAGATAAAACTTCGCCAAATTCAAAGAAGCTACTGCGCTGATTGGTTGGACGTTTTACTTTTTTTTATTATTTATATTAATTATTAATGACCGCTGCGAGTCGTAATCGCTGCACGTGAGACATATATTTCTGACTTTGCTTTTTACAAGTGATGCAGTACGTTCACACGGTTAGATTTTACTGCTGCAGAGCGTTTACATAAATCAGAAAATAACCAGTTCATAAAGCGCGTGTCCCACGTAGCAGACAAGTTAGAGAGACCGACACAGGCGTGGGAGAAATAAGAACTAAATCAATCAAACATGATCACATTAACAGTAAAAGACGAGGCAGACAAAAACATGCCCGTTACTGCTGGCATTCTCATGCATTCACACGCTTGTATATACATTAAATCGGATATAATTTATATTGGCGTTAATTTGTACTATAAGTACTTACAGCTGCGGTGAAAGTTTCCTCTATGGCAAAAACAAACAAACGGCAGCGAAAACAACATAATCCATGTGTGATTACGATCAGTCCGATTGCGATTTCCAGGACTTGGAAATAAAAGTCACAGTGGGATCGCCTGCTAGATCTCGGTCCTTATTAGTTGCACCGAGTGGCCCTCCCACTCTGTCATTTTTACTGAAATGCTCTGCCTGAGACTTCGGCAAACATGAGCAAACACGCGCTAAAAGCTTTCACATTAGTAAATAAAAGCCCCGAGAAGAAACAAAGACTACCATTTAACAGCTGCAGGTGCAGGGATTACACACTGTTTGATGCTTTATTGTCTGATCATTTTCATTCCCCGAGGGGAGATAACGCCTGGATTTAGGTCCCTTTAAGGCAGCTTGACGTGCGTTAGTGTGTTATTGATAATACAACTGTCAGCTCAAAGAGATTCTTAATAGTCTCAACAATGGACTCAAATTGTGGATCTCGAACTTTTTCTTCAAGGCTCCTCTGAAGATAGGACTATTTATAAGATTCTACGATTCTAAGATTTTCCTTCAGAACTCCGTTTTTTTAAACACTGCGCAGCCTTTAAAACAATATTCTTAATGAACAGAATTTTCATTTTTAAATCCTCTGTTCGAAATTTTTTTAAAGTCATTAACTGTCTCTTTAAAAAATGGTTTTAAAACCTAATAATAAAAGATATTTTCCTTCAGTTTCTAGTTTCTAGCTTCATCAAGGTGTTGTCAGTGCATACCCTAATCTCTAATCCCTAATTTAAGTTTAACACTAGATAAAGTATCTAGTATTCATAAGTAACCCATTTTGAGATCGGGGTAGGCTGGAATCAAACCATGAACTTCCTTTGACTACCACGGAGCACAGTTTCATGAGAGAGAAAGAAAATGAGAGAAATACATGAAACTTAACACACATTTCTAATCAGAGTTATATATCTGAGATGACAAACAAATTTTCCCTGCAATGGATATGTGCCCTCAAGGGACACACCCCCTATGTTGGGAGCCACTGCTCTAAGAAGCCTGGACTCATAATTTGAATTAATCTGATCTGGGTTTTTTTTTACCAGATTATTTGTTGTATACTCATTTTGTTCTATACTCATCAATAAAGACAGTATTCAATAAAAAGAGACAATTTCAAGCTGCAGGGACGAGCAAAGTCCTGCAGCAACACACACCATGCTCATACTATTTTAGTCAGAACATGCCATGCCATGTTGCAATACTATATGGACGGCAACAACTACAACATTTGCCTTACTCTGACTCAGTGTGTACGTTTTTTTTTTCTTTTTCACCACAGTGTGGTTCTGTCACGCTTCTGACACCTCTCTGTTTAAAACCTAAGCTAAAAATGTGACTGACTGTGTTTTCTACCTGCTGTGTTTGTCCTTACTGTTTTAGTGCTGTGTAAACTGTGTTATTGGAACCTACATGAAGGTTAAAGCAGCCTAGTTCTTGCACTCTTGTTGAAACAGCACACCAAAGTTGCAGACACCCCAGCCAGTGGAAACAGGTGTTCAGGCTGCACACACAAAACTGTTTAGACAGATGATTTTAATGCACCCTCCCTTTTGAGACATGGACAAACACACACATGCACACACACTGCATTTTTCTTAAGTGCAATGGCAGTAACAACAGAACATAAATAAAAGAGCTAATAATAAAAGTTATGCAGTCGTAGGTTTTTCTAGTGTGTTTACAGTATATCTAGTGTTTTAGATACTCAGGACTGAATATATATTTTCACTACCTGATATCTTTTGAGCAGAATACTGTAGTCTTCACAGTCATATTGTACCATTGCACTGCAATTGTGTGTATTTATTTCCTTTTAGTGCTACCATATACTGTAAATTTACATCCAATGGAGTGCAGCTCCTACTACACACAACAGTTAGAATCAAAATGCTCACTTTGGGATCTAACAAGCTTTAAGGGACTCAGCGACAGTTAATTTCACACACTGTTAAAAAGGAGATTTAAATGGCCTACTGCCACCACAACCTTTTCAAGCAAGTCATGATTTTTTTAGCCAGATTAAATCATGTTTTAATGTTTCATAAGATATACACAATTGATTGTTTTTCTATGTGTTCTTTTCCATACAACATATTTGACTTATTTGTTTATCTTTTCCTTGTCAACTGTAAATAAGCACTTTTGAATAAAATACTAAACATTGAAAAATAGCCAGTAGGTGGCAGTAAATCAACTTTAAGTCTAACGGCCCTAATAAGTAGACTTGAGCCACTTAGTCTAGCCTTGAAGGCCACATTTGTTGATGAGTAGTAGTTTTTTAAATTAAGGAGGGCAATATTAGCCATATTCAAGAGAAGTACAATAACACACAGACGGGTGTAATACAACCTTTGTCTTTTGGTTTTCGATTAAAGGAGTTTATCTGAAGTGCATTTCTGTTTTATCCAGTGAAAAATATTTTCTTGTTAGTTTGTCTAGCTTTGGCAGGTCTGCGAAGAAATTACATATAACTCCATAAGGTCCAGATTGATATTTACGTTTGTGTGATAAAATTCCATTTGTTAATTTACTCATAGGCCACAGCAATAGTATAATAAATGGATGGATGCACTTTAGACATTGAAGTATCTGGATACTATACCGTACTTTGAAGCACATTTTCTTCTGCTCCGTGTCAAAGTACTTGTTTTCAAGTAGTCATTGAAAGATAAAAAGTCTGTGTCGGCATTCAGCAGATGGCAAATGCAGCTCACCAATGTCTGCTCCAAGGTAAATTGAACTACATCTTATGGAGTCTACGGCCCCCAGCACTGACAGCTAGCATCAAAATGTCCTTGAGATGTACTGTCATTTCTGAAGTATTCTGTGATGGTATTTGTACGTGTATGTGATCACTGTGGAGAAAAATAAAGAATCCACTGGTGGACAGAAACCAAAATATAACTGTTCTTTCAATAAGTATATAGTATTTTTTTTTCTCACAAGTCATGGTATCACTCTGAAAAGTAATGTTTTCTTTTACAAATGAGATCATTATATTTTTCAACATCACTTCCTCATCTTTTTTCTTCCCCTCTGTGGTAGTTCCTAATTGATCACTGGCCTCTGTGTAAAGACAAACATACTGTCCAGGTCCATGTGTCAAACAAATGAAAATTGGATGAAACTGCATAATTCAGTGGCTTTAAGTGGGTTGCTCAGCTCATACTGTGCCAACGGCTGAAATAGATTGTGTTTTCCTGCCCAGGCAATTATTTTACCCCTTCATGGCATTAGAAATTAAACACATTGTTTCTTAAATAAATTGGGAATGTGGAAAGATGTTGTTTCTTTCAACCCACGTCCAGAAACTTTGTTGTGTACAATACAATTAATGACATGTCATAAAACATAAGATCAACCCTATTAGATATGGCAAGGTTTGTTGATTGTGCTTGGTTTGTGCTTCTGCCTTAAAGCGAGAAGATCACTTGTTCAATACCATGCGATGAAGGTACGAGATTAGAATAATCAGACACGCAAAAGTGACCATACTGTATGTATGACTATGAGTGTATATATAAATGGTTGCCTGTCTCTATATGTGATACTGTGTTGAACTGTATTGACTAAGGTTTCACATGACCCTGAAAATGATTCATCTGTAGAAATTGTTGAAGTTGTTGATGGAATGTATATTGAAGCCATTTCCTAATTAAAGAACTAAACTGTATAGTTGAAATAGGATTGACAGTTGTATGTTTGACACCCCTGGCATAACTGGTCAAAATTATACTTCAATAGTGATTCTGCTCATCACAACCTTGATCCCTCTGTTCTCTTCTCTTCAGCTCCATTCATCACTCTCTCATCTCTGGAGAAACACAGACTTCACCGCTTCAATTAACATCCTGCAGAAATTCGCTTCTTTTTTGAGACATGCAACCTGTGAATCATTTTTTGCACTCTTAATTCTCATCTACCACCTCCCATTAGAACAATCTGTGCCTGATACCAGGGTTTAGAACTGCCAAGAGGAGGAACCAGAACCCAGCTCCTGCATAAGGGAAAGAATAATTCAGGTAGTAAAGTAAGGGAATTGAGGGGAGTAAATAATTGAATGGCAAGAAAAAAGAAAAGGAAGACAAAAAGAGTTGTTAAGTCTAATAGGTTACATCAGGCAATAAGTGTAAAGTGGATGAAAAGTGACACAAGGGAGTTGAAAAGAGCAGACAGAAAAGATGGCTATAAGTCCCTTTTTAATGAAAAGAAAAAAATGAACTTCCATCTCTATACCCGCATCGCGCTGCTGTAACTGTTCACTGCACATGTTGTAATTTATCTTTTTCAACTGACAGGTACTGACAGCAATGAGCAGCAGAGGCAGAATAACAGAGAGAAAGAGAGACAGGGGGAGAGAGAGAGAGAGAGAGAGAGAGAGAAAGCACAAATATGGTTTTGTACCTTGGGTTGGCCGGTGCAAATGCTGTCTGCAACTCCCAAGAACAACTACCCACAGTGGATAAACAGTTTGCAGAGTGAGTCAGTGTACCACAGCATTAATGTCTTTATTTAAATCATATATTTTATTTACAACATTCCCTGGAAATACAGCTGTATTGTGGACAATAAAACAACTACAACCTTTAATGTCTTCACAGTATAAAGTAGCAAAAAACCTACTGTATGAAATAATGTTTTGCCCTGTCGACAGTATTCAATATATAGCTACTGTACACGTCCACTATAATATGCCTTTTTTAATCCAGATGAGACAATATTTGACTTTAAGACTAAAACACTGACTCAGATTTTTATCGTGTCAACAGTAAAAAGCTCTGTATTAATGAGCTTTATCTCACCATATACTCTTTTCGTCAGGCGTTAGTGTCACAGAAATCCATCAGTTCGTCTCACAAACCTTGTTTGATCTGATGTCTGTCCAGTGAAAAGTCATGATTTGTCTGTCTGCAGACATGGCCTTCATCCTTGTCTGCTAAGTTGCTGAGCTATAAAACAAAACTCACTATAGAACATGACGTCTTCTAGCCTAATGAAATATTTATTAGCGTCTGCCGTATATCAGGCAGCAGCAGTGTTTGTTCTTCGATGTCAAATATTATTAAATGTGTAGAGGCACAGAATTATTTTACTGTCTTGAATTTAATTTTCTTTCATTAAGTGTTGTTACATTTTGCCCACATTTTAGATTAATTGTGTTTTTTGCAGTTTATATTGAGGTCATCACGAGTGAATCATTTAATATGTACTCAACAAACTACCAAAGCATTATCTATTACTTTAATATATTCCTCTGAGCATGATTTAACAAAGAAAATTATTTGTTAAAGTTAAACACAGTAAATGTTCCATTTATTAATAATCAACTCTAATTCTTATTACAGCTCATTTGCATTGTGTGCCTGTTAAGGATGCGCTGACACAAGAATTTAGGGTTATTCTGAGTTGCTTCTAATATTAATTAATTCATTCAGAAGTTATTAATCTTACTGCCAACCTCTTCTTTCATAACACATTTAAACATATGTTAAAAACAAACAAGAAAACACATTTTCTGGTTTCCGCTTTAACAATTCAAATGGGGTAGATCATAAAAATTAAATCGGTATTTCAAAAACATGTCTCTCCCTCTGGCTCTGCCTGTGTTTCTGCACCTGTATTATGTTAGTACTGAATGACATGTACACAATCTGAGCAAACAGTTTTGTTTCACTCACAAATCTAATAATCTGATGCTTCAGCACACTGTCAAGTCTCTATTGTGAAAATTGAAAGAGGTAAAGCACCTGTCCTTTGAACATGAGTATTTACTAAACTGACATATGGCAGCGCAGAAGACAAAGGCAGCGCACAGTGTTTTTCTAATCTCTATTCAGACGAAACCAGGAGGTTTATGTGCCCATAAAAAACCCCACAAAGGCCATTAATAAGTCTAATTTATTATTTGTGATAGCTTACCTGGGAATAAAAATACAAAGAACACTCACAAAAACAGGAATAGTGACCTGTATAAAAACATTTGTTTGGTTAAGAGCTGTAGTTTTAAATATTATACTTTAAAAAACACTGACCCATTTTTTTAAACTTGAAAGAAAAATTGTAAGAAATCAATGCAGTTTTAAGTTATGTGTAATTTAAATTAAAAATGAATGGTCAGTTAGATATTCTTATTATGCTGTGTGTCCTCTGTCAGTACAATTATGTGAAGCACTTACAGTACTTGAGACTGTATTTGCAGCTACTATTAAATTGAAAAATTGTGAAATGAATACATACACAGGAAAAAAATAAAACTCTAGAAAAACATGAAAAAAGTAGAAATGAGAAAAAATGTCATAATAGTAATTTAAGTGTAGAACTGCAAAAAGGAAAGAAAGAATTAAAACACAATAAATTATTAAAATCCATTAAAAAACCTTGATACTACTAGTACGACTACTATTACTACTACTACTAGTAATAATAAAGGAAAAAAACATTTCCACTATTTCACTACCAATTTTGTCTGAAGTACAGATGTCACACCCTAATAATAGAAAGTATGCTACTCTGCTGGGATACATTTTCAACCTGTTAACACACATTTCTCGACTCTGTCATCAATACAAGAAAGCCCAAGGCCGTTTCTTTTCATCACAGTAATGACGTCAGTAGTAACACGTGGTTTTGTTGTTACAGGAAGTGAAGATGGCGGCCCAGTCGCTGCTCTCCGAATCTGTGCTCGGGTGGTCGATTTTCACGTTTATACTTTTGGTAAGTGTGTGTAAATTTGTATGTTTGTATAGAAGAGCACGCAGTTTTAGAGTATATCTTTAAACTAATGCAGAAAAACGGCTAAAGTGTTTGACAAGCCGCCGCGACATGGCTGCAGATTCTGCGTTAATATTAGCCTCGGCATGAGCTAACATTAGCTGACACACTGACAGTTCAGGGTTGTATAATAAGGTGTCACTGAAGAGTTTATTATACTTGGCACTTACTATTATTGGAAGCTATATATCAAACAACAACGTACAAATACGACGTTCGAGAATGAAAGAGTTATGACGTTGAAAAAACAACCGCGGTGAGGTTTTAAGATGCTGCGTCTGTTTACGTAAGCTACTTCGGGACACTTAGGATTGAAAAGATAAGACATTATTAATAGGAGTTATAAATAGACGCGGTTCTCTTGTATTAGTGTTTTCTATTCTGTGAAAATGTGTCGTTCTGTTGAAGTCCGATTAAGCACACTGCACTAAATATATAAAAACAGTATCACCCACAGCATGAGAGCATTAGATAATAGATGAATGCATATCAGTCACATTGTAAAAATCTTTGAAATCAATACAGCAAAGGATAAGCCTGTTGTGTTCCAAGCCATGATTGGCTGATGTATTTATTATGCAAATATCAATGGCGTCTTTTAGACAACGGTATTGTTAACTTTGTGTCGTGATATCAACAAATTAAACTGTTATGATTTTTCTTTGTCCTGTTGTCCACCCTGGTCCAGAAGCTGCTAAATATTGTGCCCGCTTCTATGTCACATGTCCATGTCACAATTCAAAATTTTAAGCCATTCAGTGGTGTATAAAAAGTCATACATTTTGTATACACGTACCCAAAACGTGTCTGAACTTTAATCTCCGTGCCTGAGGTGTTAATTCCTCAAACAAAGCATCTGCGTGCTCAGTGCACTCCTTGCCCTTCTAGAGCTTTCAGACTAGGTGAAGGATTGTGCTGCATACTTTAATGGCAGAGAATAAGAAAGCAAAGTTCAAAGAATATACAGGGACAATGAATTTGATCTGTGCAGCATGTGACCATTTCACAGTAGTCTGACACACGCCCACACTTTTTTCTGTGAATGCCTTACATAGACATAAATCATTCTCTCACTCCCTATTGCAACATTAAGAATTACAAATATTATTATAGCTATTCTGACCCCAATTCTAATCTGAACTCTAACCAGAAAATTCAAACCACACGAAACCTTTTACTTATTAAAGAGTGAAATAGTATTTTTCTCCAAAAAATGTCCCCACAAGTACAGTTATACTTGGTTCACACAGGGAATACACACACACACACATATGTGCTTTCTACTTGTCATGTGCTTTCTACTTGTCATTCAATAGCTGCATCCTTACCTGACAAAACAGAATCCATGGTCTTTAAGTTCTTTTCTTTTAATTGATCCTGCCTTAATATGACAGCCCTTAATCCTCAGAGATTGGCTTGAGCAGTTTTTGCTCTACTCTTAGCTTGTGCCTAGAATATGACCTTGTCATTTTGCCTTCACTGTCTGGTAGGTTTCTTGCCGCCTGTTCATGGTCTGTCTTTGCCATGCTCTCGCATTAGTGATGTACATAGACATTTAATAAGGGATTAAAACAAATAATTGCTACTAATCTATCTACATTATGTAAATAAAACGTATTCCACTATACTGATCATCTGCACCCAGCCTGTGTTTAAAGATGACAAGGATAAGAGGGTGGTATAAGCAGATTAGCTGTTCTGTAGCACCTGCAATCAGCTGTTAACAATGTGTAATTCCCTACTTGTCATATTAAAACTTCAGCTCAAGTATTTTATTGTGATGTTAGCAATACACACTTGAGATATACTTGACGCACATGAGATTTTAAATGGGATTAAACAAGATTACTAGTAGGAAGTTTAATAAATATGCAGGAGCTCATAAAGCCCTAATGCTACAGTACTGAGGTAGACTTTTTGAATGGCATTATATAAGGTTGTCTAACATTCTTATATGCACATATTGAATTAGTTTTAATTAGCTCCTATCACTTTTAGATACCCAAGAGACAGATATTTTTAACTCGCATTTAGTGTCTATATTTTAACATTATATATTTTGTCATTTTTTGTAACTATGATAACTGTTTAGGCAATCCTGGCTTTCTGTTGGGTCTATATTCGAAAATTCCAAAGTCGTCGAGAGAGCGAAGTTATTTCAACCATCACAGCAATATGTGCACTGGCCATCGCCCTAATAAGTTCTGCACTTCTGCCAGTGGATATATTCCTGGTCTCATTCATGAAGTATCCCAACGGTACCTACAAGGTCAGTATTGGTTTTGAAAAACAGTCATTGTTTAATTTTATTTTTATTTTTTTTTATCTATATATTTCCATCTGGTAAAAGGAGAAAGACGCAACAGGCCAGTAGTGGTCCTGCATGCTGAGTCTGTGGTTGGAACCATATCAACTGTTTTATTTAGCCATATTTATCTAATATGGTTTGTACATTGTGGCAGTTGTGACAAATTATTTAAATCTATTCACACATTATTTAATTCTACTAACCACTTCCAACTGTTCAGACAGATAATATGTCAGACAGATAATATGTCTTGTGTGTAATAAGATATCGCAATATCAAATAAGAACAGAATCGAGTCAACTTTTAAACCAATTGAGTTACTTTGTTTTTGTCTGAAACTAAATAGACTTAAGAGTCTATTGTGGCATTGTTGTTTGAATAATTTTGAGGATTTGAGTAATGAAACACTTAATTGTGTAATTATATCTCATCCTGAACAGCTGGTAAGTGGTTCTTTTGTTTGCCTTGATTGCTTTAGGGTTTGTGTTCTGTATCAATCATTTTAACCTAACACAGAAGGGTGCAAAGAGAATTTAGATAATTAGTCAAAGTTCTAAAGAGTTCATTTTCTTGTGGGTGTGACAGATTCTTATGTAATGAATCCCTTAATTAAGTTATAATGATGGTTAAGAGTGTATTATATAACAGAGATTTTTGTTATTGATTTACTTACAACAAGAAAACAAACAAAACAACATGGAAGTTTGCTTTATTTATGTTTCTACTTTCAAATCCTTAATAACTAAAATAATTAAATATGAATATAAGTATAAATATAGTTATATATTGTATATAACTATACTCCAAATTATGTATTGCACATATTTTAAAAATATTTCTGTCTAACAGCTTAGTGTTACTAAAATAATAACACAATATTGATCATTGTTCTAAAATGTTTGTTAATAGACAGTATGAGGAGTTGATCAGTCACTGGTAAATCAACAGTTTATTGCTTCTCTCTTTATATTTACTTATCAACCAGCTTTTATATGACTGGTAATTGCTTTCTTTCATTCATTATTTACCTAGTATTTAATTATCATTATTGGCTTTTCCCTTGGTATCATCCAGGAGTGGGCAGCGAACAATGAAACCAGAGGGCAAATTGAAGACACTGTGCTGTACGGCTATTACAGTAAGTACTTTTCCTTTTTTCCATACATTCTTTTTTAATTGGTACAACCTTATACATATTTAATTAAAATTTGTATGTATTTTAATGTGATGTTATTAAATTGTAGTTTTTGAGTTGTTCTCTACTCGCATAAATTCATATTTTACTCATCTGCTTGGAATGTTGACTTTATATCTAAAAGTGTCTTTGTTCTTATTGCAAAGAGCATTTATTTTGAGCTCTATTCCTGTTTGTTTGTTTGTCCTTTTTTTGCATACAATGTTAAACATTACCAAGGCTTGGTTTTAAAGTGCAGCTGTCCATCTCTACAGTTTCCCTTACTGCCTCCTACTGGCTGTGTGTGGTCTTGTTGCCACTTTAAGTCCATACCACTTGCAATATAAAAAGAGAAAAGTAAGGCAGATGGCAACACCATTGTAGCTAAATATACCACCGTATGTTCCCCGATTTAATTAGTTGAAAGGATGACATTATAACTGTATTGTGCTATATTCAGCCATACCATACTTTCGATACCACATTTTCATATGTATGTTAATACAAATATTTAATTCGTTAAAAAGTTTGGATAAAGGCCTACTCAGTTGGCTACTCTTTTACTCATACACACAGCTAACTGATCCAACTTTTGCGTACACACACTGTAATGGATCAGTCATTAAACAGATATGCTCAGGGATGGTATGACTAAAAAATTGTTTCTGACTTGACCTGAATTTTGAACCTTAACATTGGTCGATGTCCACTGTTAAGCAGGTTGGCTAAAATTTAAAGCTGTCTCCTCCTGGAGGCAGCTGCTTACATACCAGTAATTGTTTATAGGCAGCATGATACTTTAATTGCAGCTTAATGAATTACCTATTAAATGTCTTTTACATTTGAAAAAGTTTTGTTTTTGAAAAATCTTGGCAAATAGACCAGACCTTCTTATTGCAGAAATTATGCATTTGATGAACTGTCAATCAGACATACTTGATTTATCCTGTCTAATGCTATTTATTTAGAAGGCAGGTCTGGTCCAGTCTTCATGAATTGCCCCATAAACCTAGTATTTGTGTGTAATTGCAATTCATTGAGACACTATCAAGCTAATAAATGCTTCACTCAAAGCTATTAGTGCCTGTAAAATTTCTTTGCAATTGTCTTATTAAAGGATAACACAAGTTTGTTGTCTGTGACGGTCGCAAATCCAGGCATGCCAGACTCACTATATCACACATTTTTTAACAGATGTTGGCTTAAAACGCCTGTCGCTACAGTGTTACGTACCGTCTGTTCTCAAAATGTCAAATGCAAGGAAGGCAAGCTGTCTTTTTGCCCAGACAGCCCAATCAAAGAACCCATTTCCACTGCTATAATGACACCCGAGAACTGACTTTCACACAACATGAACATACTCATGAATTTAGCTTTTGGGGGTTCTGTAGAAAATTTCTTCTTTGACACACAAATACGATTTTATACACAAGAGTGATTTCCATGTCGGTATCCATTTTTGGATTTGACGTCCCCTCAAATGGAAACTTTGCCTTTGAGAGACTTAAAAAAATGAATTATTCAGTAGCCAGACTTTTAATGTTTGGCAGTGAACCATCCGTTTTTTAATTCATAGAGGACAAACTGCCCTGGAACCACAGAGCAACAGTTACATTTAAGAAATTTGTTCCACATCCAAGAGTCTCTATTGTTAGTTTAACAAGGAATTAACTAGTAAAGAAATAAGGTCATTAAGTAACACCAGTGAAAATTCGCCTTAATGTTTTCTTAGTCTTTGTGTCAATTTAGCACAGAAGCAGCAAAGAAGTATCAGAATGTTTTTAGTCAACCAAATTAAAATGAGATTTAATCAATTACAATGGAATGCGTATTATTTTAATGTATTCAGAAAATTTCACATAAAATTTACTAAACTTTCTTTATGAATTTATAGTCGATAACCATCTTAGAGAGGTCATTGACTCAGCAGCTGATTTATGGACAACACATTCTTCAAGATGACAACACTCAACAGCATTACTTTTTGACTTGGGTGGTGTTTTGTGATATATTCTTGCAATAACCAGTGACAGAGAAATGACTGAGAAGCAACCAAAAGATCAGCAATTTGAAAGAAAGATGAAAAAAATGGTTTAGCTTTGTGTGTAATAGGATGTGAATGAGTCCTGGAGAGCATCAAGGCAAGGTCATCAGGGTTTGGTGCATGCAGCCATATGACCAATATGTCAGAATGCAAAGAAAGGCATGTTGAGAATTCCTTGGGCGTCAGCAACAAGTTAAATTCTACTGATTTTCCAAAACAGTACGACCTGCTGGGCTGAACGTATTTATTTTACCTCCTTATGACACCACATTTGCTCCTTTGCTCATCTTATGCTCTTAGCATATGTCACTTTTTCCACTGTCTGGAATTGGTCAAATCAATTCAAAATTTCAGCATGTGATCTCTTTTATGTTTTAGCATAAATAGACTAGACTTGGAGTCCAAGTCCAGTCAAGCACCAAGGTTAGGATGATAACATTAATTTGATAGAATTCAGCTGTGTAACTTGGATGTCTTTTGTTTGTGGTATATGTACTGTATGTACTGCTAATTTGTTGCTGCTGTTTAGAAGCTTGTTAATTTAAGCACAAAGTCACACATTTCCAATTAAGTTGTTCTGTTTGCATTTAAAAAGAAAACAAAGAAAAGTCTTTTTTTGTAATTAATTTCCATTACTGCTTAGTAGTGATCAATTACAATTTTGTTATTTAGTCCAACACTTCCCTGTATAGTTTCTATGATTGTACTAACTGTACATGTTACACTTATATTGGGAGAGATGCCGACTGCATCATCCTTAGTTCCTTGTAGTGAATCCAAGGAATTTCAGTGGTTTTGAAAAGATAGAGGGTAAGGCAAAAATGCAACACAGATATAATTTTGAGTGCATTTTGTCATGTTAATGTTTAAAAGGAAAACTTTAGTCTTTGCAACACTCCAATGGCATCATTTTGTAATTTGCCAGTAGGTGGAGACCAAGCTCCATGTGTTATATGCACAGCTGCTTTATAAAAATGTAAACTTTACTGCGGCATTGTTTAGTATTTGACACTGCTGCCCATTCGTCTCCTCACAAAAAAGATGAATTGCAGAGTTGTCAGTGATTTCCAAATTTCTCATGTGAAACGTGTCTTTCTCACAGCTAGATTGATTTGAAGTCCGTGCTGAACACTGTTAATAAGCATGTTCACGTTTAGTGATTTTGGTGGGAACCCACATAAATTACTTTGTGTTTAACAGCCCTACATGGCTGTCATTTGGTAAATATGTGTCAGTGGATGTTATGAAAAATTATGTTAATTTTTCCTGGTCTCAATTAAACTCTGCGTTGACAGTGTAAACATGTCTCCAGCAGTCCACTTCTGTCACGTAATTACACACTGGAGCTTTACAAGCACAGCATTATAGGAAAATTAGGCTAAGATAATTATAATGTATCTTTAAAATGTTGTTAAATGAAGGGGTGATGAAGCCATTAGAATATTTTGTCATTCCTGTCGTGGCCAGAGAACCCAGTGAAAATAGCATCACAATTATGAAAAATACATTTTCTGTTGTAATACATGTCACATCAAACTGACCATTGACATACACAGTGTATAAGGATATGTTTTTCTGGGTCAGGACTTTTTCAAGTTTTTAAGTGCTGTTTAATATGATTGCAGTTATCCAAAAATGTAATGTCATGAAAAGCAAACCCTGTAAAAAAAATAGTTTAGTATGCTTCATTTTAGATCCTTAATAGAGCTGTGGGGTCCTTGACAGTTTTTTGAAAGGCCTTACATCTCCAGCTTTTGTCCATTTATGAAACAAATTTACTTGGACGGCTCAGTACCTAAAAGCAGTGGTGCAGCAGTTCCTTTGGCAAAGGAACCAAATACTCATGAGCCTTCCAGTTAACTAATTGCTTTATCTCTGCTTTTTGATAAAATTGTAAAAGAGAAGCTAGAAGGAATGAAACTGTCATACAAGTACTATACTTGAAGTACTACACGTCTTGGAAAGAAGACTCAGATTATCATGACACACAAAGCACATTTTCATTTTGGTTTCTAAAAAACGTATTTCTTTGAAAAGTTTTTGGTTTATCAGAAAAGCACCTCAATTGCACTGAATAGGAGTCTTGTTCACAGAAAAATATTCAATGCTCTTCTTACCGCTTTGGATCACAATTAAAAAAAATACTTTAGCATAGTCTTTTTGTCTATGTATAATCGGGCATCTAAATCCTGAAACCTTGAATTTATAATTACATAGATCATTTTAAATTAGATTTAAAGCACTATCAAACAAGAACCAGGTTAAATGGAGCATACTGATTGACGGTGTGGTCAGTTAAAAAAAGTAAAGAATGTAGTTGATATGCAGAGGGTGGAATCAGATGTTTATATTGAATTAGCTTGGTTTATTGCCATATCACAGTGCAGAAGCTAAAAGAAAGTTGAAATGCTAGTTTTTCTGACAAAAAATTTACTTATTTTGATGGCCAACTTATGATGTCCTGATGCATATTGATGTCATCGAGACAGTTTTATTTGTCAAAACCTGTTGTGCTTGCTTACACAAAAGCCACCAGAAAATCTAGTATCACATTGGGTTGTAATGCAGTTAGGCTATCACTAGGGCTGGCAAATTAACCTGAGAAGTGTAATCAGATTGAACTTTGATTTGATTTGAACTCACAGCCACAAACAGTTTTCATTTCACCTAAGCACCTTAAGCTTAAGATAACTGCAATATGCCCAGCATTTATTTGCGGGCTAAGTCTGTGGCTCGATAGCTGACACAGTTGACAAATGGATAACATTTATTGTTAATCAATTCATATTGTTGAGGACAATAATTTTACTTACTTGTATATTTTTCTTTTTTCTATATATTGTATTATTTGAACTGGGCACAATTTTTAAAATCTCTGAAACATGCACGCACTTGCATGTAATTTGTATTTTGGTTCCAGCAAAAAAAAATCTATTTGATTTGGTCATGGTTAATAATGTTGATTAATCTCAATCAAACATGATTAATCATGCTGATCATAACCAATTTAGATCAATCAGATAAATTTTTTTATTAGTTTTACAGGTTTCCCTGTTACATAAGTGAAGTTTTCTACCACCAGCCCTTCCAGTTTTAAGGGCCAAGTGAAAAGGGAAAACACCTGTTTAATCTGTTACTCAGCAGAAACAGGTCAACACACACAGGCGTCAAAGCCGAGTCCCTTATGTTTCCAAATTTAAGTCACATCCCAGGTCAGGCCCCTCATGAAGTGTTCCTCCCTCGATGATTACAGCAAATAATAGTGCATGCTTGTAGTGCAGCACCTTCCAACAGGTACCTTTACAGATGGCTATTCCATCAGTGTCTGGAGTCCTTTGTTACAGACATAGTCTCTGTAACAAATCTTCCCTGGTCTTTCATTTCCATGTAATACGTAGGTAATTCATTCTTCCTGTCTGCAAGAAACAAGAGCCCAGGTGCTAATGCTCCAGTAAGGAGGACAGTGATGTGAGGACAATGGCCCTGGGTTTCTCTTTTAACCAGATGTGGCAATTACCACAAGATGCCAGATAAATGGTAAAGCATAACATAGTGAATAACCTTGTTTTCTATTTTGTCTTTTTTACCAAATGTTACTGTTTTAACCCTTTTTCTTTATGTTCCATGGACCCATCTGTCATTCTGACTTCACCCCTAAACATTTACCTTAATGGTATTATAATTATTAATTATGTACCTTGGTACCTTCTCATCTTGATCTATAAGGACAATGTAACTCATCTTTACCTTTTCTATACCTTTGAACAGTCGAAATGAAAATAAGGTGTTTTATATATTTTTTTAATAACATATTGTCCTTTTTTTCGTTTTTTACTGTCTTGTGGTTATCAGCGAAAGAAGGACATTTTTATTTTTCAATCTTGTACTCCCAGGGAATTTAATAGGTTCAAATTTTATCCATGGTCGGGCCTTCTTCCAAACACAAAATCTGTTCAGAGAGTAATAGATAAAACATGACAGTGTAGAACAACCTGTCTTCTGAGTGTGGTAAAATGCATGCTGTTAGGATGAATTTTAAAATTTTCTTTTAACCACAATATTATGCCATAGGCGAGATACGGTTTTGATTTATGTTTATTGACACCAGTACTCATTATAAACTTAGCTATTTGTTCTGGATTTATTGTAGGTGACAAATGTGGATGTTTTTATTGGAAAAATATTCTGTCATATTCAACCAAAAATAAGGTACTATGGGTGTAAAATGAAATTGTCCTGCAACAAAGACAACATTTCTTAAGGAAGGTTTGAAAGCATCAAAATTAGTTGGAATTTTTTCTTTCTTTTTTTGTACTTTGTTTACCCTGCAATTTCTTTTTCTATTGACTTGATTTTGAACAAGTAATAGCAGTAATAACAGTAATAATTACACAATAAACACTAATAATTTATTATTGTTATTTTTTTAGTTTAGCTGATTTCATTTTTTTTAATAATTGCCATTATTACCTGCAGAAGATCTTTTAAGATTTGGTTTTGATGTGTTTTTTTTAACACAGTACGTGACATGTCTTTTGCTTATTTTAGTTTTTTTTTTTTGTTTTTTTTTTTGAGTTACCTCAGCTTTTGCTAGTAACATCCATTTGTCGCACCAAGTATAGCCTCTAGCATGAAATTGCATCTCTCTATTTGTTTTCCCCTCACTTCCAGTCCATGAATTCCTAATGCATTTAGCTTTAGCCCTTTTCCAATAAAAGCTTCCTGCACATATAGAAGCAAACAACCAAACAAGGAAGCACTTAGATGGGACTAGAGCAAGTTCTTTAACCAAGCAGTCTGCAGCATCCACTTTGTACATCTGTTCACCTACTTTGAATGAATCATTTTCTGACATTGATGGTTTTGGCCTTTTTAGCAAGTTTAGGAAGTTGAAGTGAACAAGATACAAACAATTTGATATATGGCCCAAACTTTTGCTTAAAATACATGTAGCAAAACAATTACATTAAAATGCAGAGGCTGTTTTGATTGAATCAGGGATGCTCGCCTTGTCAATATTGATCGAACTGTTCTCAGTTTAGTATACGCTTAGTATAGTGTTGAAATAGTACAAGCCTATTGTGGTTTGGATAATCTTATCTTAAGTAGATGACCTATACAGAATTATTAACCTACACATCAGTGACACAGGCTTATTAGCTTTGATCATCTTCTAAAAACCCCTGTGGCTGCTACCAGTACTGCACTCTTAAGCACCTGAAGCAAACTCACAACACAGTTTCACATTGTTTCATTTTCAAGCTTTTGACACCCAGCAGTGACTGAGAAGTTATTGTTAAAGGAAACTTTAACAAACTTTCTAGCTGGTTAGAAAAGACATCCTGCAAATGTTCTTTTATATGCTGCCCTTCGATTGTCATAGTAAACTAACTAAATACTTTCTTTTACCCTGTATTTTACAACTGCTTTATAACCAAGCAAGGTTCTTTAAATTGGTTTAGACAAGATTATGTGATATTTGGTAAACCCTCTGTGTGGCACAGGTAATCTTACACAACTTACATTTTCACATAACCCAAATGTAGTTCTTTTCTAATACAGTTGTGTTTTCATCCTTCAGCCTTGTACTCCATCATACTGTTCTGTGTCTTCTTGTGGATTCCCTTCGTGTATTTCTACTATGAAGAAAAGGATGATGACAATGTCAACAAATGCTCAGTGAGTGTGCACCTTTCTTTTCATATGAGACAGTCAAGTGTCCGTACATGTGTTATTGAGATATTAAATGCAGCTGACTGATATTCTAATACAGCTGTCCTTTTTGCTTCGTACACTCACTCAAAACATAAGACAACACTGGCCTATTTTTGACAAAAAATAAAGAGCACACCATTTTAATTGTATTTAGTAAGCTTCATTGTGGGATTGATTACATTTAATTGCGCACATTTACCTTTTTGTAATGGTTATATTTACTCTAGCGGTAAGACATTAATGTTAATCAAATCAAGCAATAGTGTTTAAAATAATTTTTATAATTTATATTGGACTATCAGCCTCGTTCTTCCTTCTTATTATTATAAGCCTCTGAAGTGTCGGCAGCAGCATCAGACTCCCATCTGTCTCATTGTTCCTTTTCTCTTCATAGTGTCACTTTTTAGCTGACAAAGGCACTTTCTCTTATGGACAGGGATGTCTTTTGTGCTGTAACTTTTAAAAGCACCTTTGAAAGCACTGGGAGTGACATGCTATCACTGCCGGGTCAAACTTGGTCCGCACTAGGCTATGTATAGCCCTCACTCACTGGGGTGTAGCTAAAGACATCATAACTCCCTTTCTCAACTCACATTGAATAATAAATCCTCTCAATTCATGGCCATAACTGACCAGCATGTTTCTTTTTTATATTTCAGCAAGTAAAAAACGCTCTCAAGTACACGGTTGGATTTGCCATTGTCTGCGTGGCTCTTCTTTTAATTGGGTAAGTTGAAGACCTGAAAGACTGCTGCATCGCTGCACCATGTGTGGGAAGTGCTGTGGATGTATCACTGTGTTCAGTTAATAAGCACAGGATACCTTCGCACTGTCGCTGTGCCACTTTTTTGCACATCTTTAACCATTAAGGAAGAGGAAACCTACATGACCTTAAAGTTAAATTTTTTCAGTAATCAGCTTAATAAAATGTACAGAATCTTAGACTCTAATTCTCATCACACTTGACATTATTTTTCATCACAACTGTATTTTTCTGCATGACTTTTTTAGTACATGTGACCCAATATTTTGAGATAATTTTAAATCTATTTATGAAAAAAAATAGTCCCCCCCCAACTAAAGGACCAACTGGAACTGGTGCTGATATTGAGTCTGACTGCAACCCAGCAGTAGAGGTTGGAATAATTTAGCAACACTTTAAAATAAATAGACGGGTGTGACTTTTTTCTTTTTTGTTTTTCCTGCTCATGCCACAATTTTCTGACAGTTGTGGCTGCTATTCTGGTGGGACACAAGAGTCCCGAAAATATGTTGGTTGTGTTCAATAGCACGTGACAGATTTTCTTTGTTGCTGTTGAAGCAACATGCCTGGAGTTTAACCTGCACAACTACACAATTAAAGTGTTCTCTCAACCGTAAAGTTGTGAACTGCTGGAATGTTTACCTGATCTGGGAGTTAATTCATGTGTCCATACTTTTTTTTAATAGCTGAAAGTTTAGAAGTTGGACTGTTATGTACAGAATCAATTTAGTTCTTCTTTTACCTCAATGACTGCAACAATTGATGTTTTTGTTCACTCCGCTGTTTCTTTGGTTTTTGGACTTTTCGGTAACACAATGGCTTTTATCTCAGACTACTTTTCCAAAATTGACCGTCACTCAGTGTAGGTCTATACCTGATGTCAACAGGCTCTTGTTTGTCGTCTCTTTTTGTTGTTTGCAGAACATTAAACATTGCCTGCACTGTCTCAGTTACAGGTTTTTCACCTTTTCTTTTACTTTTTAAAATCACACTATTTTTCTCAATCAGGAACAACATATCCTGAGTTTTCACTTGGTTATTTGGCAGAAATCAAATAAAATAAAAGTTTGCTTTTTGAGAATAAGAATCTAAGAAAGAACAATTACATGACCTGGTGGTATTTAAACTGTATTTAAACTTAAACTGTATGATAAACTTACAGAACAACAGAGATCATTAGCATTTGCTGTCATTCATGTCAGTCACCCTTCATATCTGCTGCCACCAATTTCTGCTGCAGGACTTGAATTGAAACACTGAATTTCTGTTGGGGTATCCCTTTCTGTTTACCTTGTCCAGGTGTAGCCAATATTATTTTGAGTTTATCTTTTTGTGATTTGTTTTCTGTCTTTTATGTTGTCAGACTGTTCTCACCATACATTCTCTTGGACACAGGCTTAAAAGCTAAGGTGGTCCCAAAACTTGCCTAAAAGTTTTTCTTTTTACTTTCAGAGCTTTTGTTCCTCTTCAAGCCCCGCCTGGTCAGAATTCCACTCAGTTCGATAAAGTTCAGTACCTGTTTGAGGAGCTCGGGGGTAGTCGTAAGTATTGATTCTTATGATGTAGAAAAAAAAAAAAAAAGCATCCTATCAATTTAATTTTGCAAACCTGCCAAATGTATTTTTGCTTTGATTTAATTTTCTTTCAGTCTTTTGCCAAACTGTCAGGTTTAAAAAAAGAATGACAATGAAATTAATTTGCCCAATACATCTCGTACTCGAGTTTAACGTAATCAGTCATTTGTTCACTTTGGTACAGGTGCAATGATGATCACTGACAAAAATGCAATCAAAAGCTTTATGTCCTTTCTTTTTTTTAAGCCAGCCTAGTTCAAATCTGGTTATTAAGGAGAAGGCTAAAAGATCTTTATTAAAGAGAAAATCTAAACATACAAGCTCCCTCTGATCTTTGCCCCGTTCATGGCTGGAAACTGCTCTGCTGCAGAGGAGGAAACGTTGGAATCACCCTTTTTTTGAATCCCTGTCTCGTTCATCTCTCCAGATGGTTGGTTAATTGCATAAAGTAAAGGCACTTTTGCTACACAGCCGTTCTAACTGCTTTGCAGTGACTCTTCATTAAGACCACTACATCTTTAATAGGTTTATCATTACTTTTGTAGCAATTAGAGCAGTGCTCATTCAACCAATAAGGGTTCATTGCTCGGCTCATTATAACCCACCTTCTCATTTATGTCAGATTTAGCCAGAACATGCTGGGCATATGAAGGTAGAATGTCAGTGCTGGGTTATGTGGTTGTAAAAGATCCTAGTATTAAAATTAGTAATGGTAATAATAATAATCTACTGGTTTATATGATAACAAAGGTTGTACATTGAATTAATTGTCAGCTGTCCTGGAAACAGGAGTTTGAGTATTTTTATGCAGAATTAAATATCTGCAACCTTATGTTCTTTCCTCATCTTCAAAAAGTTTTCCTCATCAATGTACAGTCTTAGGTAAACAAAATGAGTAAACTGTGACAGGATCACTCTTTTAAAAATTGTAATGGAGAGTTATAATGTCATATAGTGAATTGTTCATTGTTCAATACAATTTTTCAAATAGACAGGAAGGAAATGTTCCCTCACCCCTGCTGCTCCTGTCTGTTATTAATTTAGGAGAAACACTGGAAACTGAAATTTTTAGTTTTTGCTTTTTGAAAACTCATACATTTCATCTGTTATATTCTGGACTGTCTTTTGAAGTGAACATAAGATGTACATTTTCAGTGTCTCCACCCTTCTTCATATATACTGTAGTAGAAGAAGCCGGCAGACACTCATCATGTTCATTGGTGGAAAACTGTTATTATTGATGCACTGGGTTCCTGCTGCTTGAAATATATCACTTTTCATGCCTACATAAAAGGACATCTATTATGGTCCAACCTTTTAAACTGAGTTTTCACTTGGTTATTTGGCAGAAATCAAATAAAATAAAAGTTTGCTTTTTGAGAATAAGAATCTAAGAAAGAACAATTACATGACCTGGTGGTATTTAAACTGTATTTAAACTTAAACTGTATGATAAACTTACAGAACAACAGAGATCATTAGCATTTGCTGTCATTCATGTCAGTCACCCTTCATATCTGCTGCCACCAATTTCTGCTGCAGGACTTGAATTGAAACACTGAATTTCTGTTGGGGTATCCCTTTCTGTTTACCTTGTCCAGGTCGGCAGACACTCATCATGTTCATGTTCATTGGTGGAAAACTGTTATTATTGATGATGCACTGGGTTCCTGCTGCTTGAAATATATCACTTTTCATGCCTACATAAAAGGACATCTATTATGGTCCAACCTTTTAAACTTGAGTCCTACATATAATAAACCACACCGTATGTAACTATTGTACATCAGAGTTTTTTTTGTACAGTTCCCCTCACTTCTGTTGATCTACAGCCATTACACATGAGTAGGGTTTTAAGGCTAAGAGTGCTCTTTCATAGAAGTTTTTGTCTGAGTGTGAGGCACACCACACACGTTTGAATGGCTGTTTTCAGGGTGAGATAAGAGCTCTGCAGTTTCATTGCTGTTGAAATCAGAGCTTACACTGAACAGATGTGGAAGTAACACTGATAATGAAAAAAAAATCCCTTTGTTGAATATTCAGGAAATATTCTCAAGAACCCAATAAGAAAAGGGAGAAAACATCTTTCCCCAGTGTTGGGTTCATGAACAAAAATGTTCTTCATGCAGAGCATAGAGCTATTGTCTCTTTTCACTGAGCTCCCCACCACACAAAAGCGACCTAATCTCAACAAAACACCCAGTATTCACATGTTAATTCCTCTCCCAGGCGTCAGACTCCAAAGTTGCCTACTTTGTAGAAGACAAAAGGAAACATGTATATTTGGTTTCTCCACCGCATGTGCTTTTGTTCAACTATGTTTTAAATTTGTGAGCAGAAAGTAGACGTAAACAACACACAGCAAACTTTACCCTGAATACTGATGTGATCAAATGCCAAAGTCAAGGAGAAATCAAACTTGGAGTCGTCTGTGCCCGTGCTGACAGGTGGGCTAGGACACAGGGAGTATATGGGATGTCTTTATAGGGACAACTGTGCAGATTTTACGTGGGGGCCCTGTGACAGGTGGGATCGTGACAGGGGAGGAAGGCAATCAGTCTCTATATCAATCCTGTCTTCTGACTGCAGCTTTGACAGCTGCTGTGACATCCACTGTTGCCCTTGCATGATGGGTGGTCTCCTCTCTGCCTCAGTCAGTGACACATATCCACACAGAGGCAGACTAAAGTATCCAGCTGTTTAAACACTAATTGTGATCACTACGAGATTGGAGATATAAAACACAGGGAACTGATGCATCCCCAGAGGAAACGGAATAAAGTCATGTGTGCCATCTAGGAAGAGCCTCAAATATGATCCCTGTTTTTTCTTCTGCTTTTCCCAGTTACATTTAAGTAAATGAATGTGGCGTGTTTTTAGGCCATTAGTCAAAAATGTAAAAGCAAGGCAGCATAAATTTGATATTATTTTTATAAAAGATTTGTTAACCACGATCTTAAAGCTCCTTAATATGATAAGATTTTTATGGTGTTGAAGGCATGCATGGTCCTTACCTTCTTTTAAAATTTAGTGAAATTTACAGCAGTTGTTAAACTGCTGTATGTGACCCTATGTGACCCTATGTGACCCTGCGATTGACTGGCTAACTACCCAGGGTGTAGTTACCCTGCTTCTTCTTTGTAAATATCTGTTGTTTGTTACATCATATCAAAACATTTCTGCTATAATTGAGCCAAGTATGTCCTACACTTGTTGCTGTCCCAATCCCAGATGATTGCTGGCACAGTAATGTGAGCCACCACCATTTGTTTACTCACAGTATATGTACGTGTCTTACACAGCCACCGCCTTTGGCAGCAGTTGGGTGAGCGATGAGGGAAGAGGTTGCTGTCTGTATTACAGTAATTATTCTTTCCCAACGAACGCACAATGCTCCTTTTTTGTGCTTTTAAAATATTTATGAGGTAAATGAGCAGTGTGGAAGGAATTTGTGTCAAGTTAACAAACAAAACTCATCAATAATCTGCCCTGACATTGGTAACCCAGTATTTTATAATCTAAACAATTACTTTAGTCAAACATGTCTCGGAAAATTTTATCAGCCTCTCCCACAGAACATTTGTGGCTCTTTTTCCTACTTTCCACCTGTATTTTTTCATAGCTTAGCTTCGACCTATTCCTCTCAGAATCCATCTGCTCCAGCTGTCATAGCAGAACTTGGTGAATCCTGCAAACATTTTGAAACAAGTCAAGACACCAATTAGAGAGGACTGCTCGTTAAGCTTTCCCTTCTTAGATTTCGGTGTACTTTATTTTAAGAAATACCTCTTCTCCATATGATCTTTGAGATAACGAATGAAGGTGAATATGAAAAAGACGGCTCGGACAGAGTCATCCTTGTTTGATACACACAGCTGTGTGCATTTTACACTTAATTACCATTTCAGATGTAGTAAAGTAGTAAAGCTAATGTGCAATAATAAATTAATAAGGCAGTCATGGACAATAACTAATAACAAGATGGTTTAATTCTTATGGATGGAGTATTGTTAAATCTTCAATTGTCCCAAGTGAATTATTTTGGGTTAACAGAAGACAAATGGATGTTGACAAGTCATTTGCCCAGTACGGTGACTGATGTTCAATTGTTATAAAAATGTGTTTTGGATAATCAACTAACCCAGAGTAAGGCTTTTTTTATAAAGTGTATGTTACATGTTAAGTCTACAGGGTAGAGTTTCTGTATAATATTTTAAGCCATTTACAAGAAACTACTCATAAGCTCTACCTTGGAGTTAGGGTTGATGAAAAGATTTTACCTGTCAAACAGAGTTCAAAAGCTCAGAGCTAAGTGAAAGTACATATATCAAAGTTGGTACAAAATATTTCTGTCAGTGGTCAAGGTTGAACCTGTAATGGCTTTTCTGTCTCGTTTCCTGCAGATGGTCTGCCTGCTCTGTCCTTCTCCATCAGCACGTTGACCTTGATTGGCATGTTGGCCGTCATCACTTACACGGTAAGTTTGAGCAGAGACAAGTGGCCAGTATTGATCCAGGTTTTCAGCAAACATAGCTTTTTTACATCTTGCAACTTTTGGTACTAAATATCACAGTTGGTTAATGACTATGTCATTAAAGCTACAGACCATGTGAATTTTGTAATACTGAAAGTTTAATTTTATTTATATAATTTATTCAAATATTATTTTTTATTTTGTCTAATGAGAATGAGATTTTTTTTAGTTTAATACAGAAATAATAAGGTTTCTGTACATTTAACATTTTATTGTGTTTACGACTTCTTATCGTATCACATGTATTACAAAGACTTTACTCTTGTGCTTAACTACATTGCATTTCTTTTTTGTTTTTCTGACATCATGAAATTTGCCGGCGATGCAACACTTGTTAAACCTGTCCATTTCTCATAGCTGTTATCCTGGTAACTAGACTGTGAACATTCCCTGGAGGTGTTGAAGTATCAGGGTGGGAAAAGCATAGCACTGTGTTAACATGAAAAATACACAGAAAAAAAGAGATATAAGGGAAGTCTCCTTCTCAGTCCTGCACTGTTAATGTCAAAGAATCATGTTTAATAAATGACTCGGCAGTTATGCTTCAAATTCAGATGTGTATTTCAACTTTGGTTGGTTATTATTTAATAGTCTGTTTATATTGTTATTATTGAGGATGTTTACCATTTATACTGAGTATCTGATGAAGAATCTTGTCTACTAGCACTTTTGTGTTTATGTTCAGGCCGAGTTGCGACTGTGGGAAGCACAGACAGAAATCCAGAGTCTTATTTTATATGACCCCGTTTTATACCTTCATTTTCTTGATTCGCTCCACACTGTCCTCCATCTGCCAATGGCAAAACTCTTTCCTGGTGACAACCGGCCCATTAGCAAAAAGCTGTGTGATTGATCATTCTCTGCTACGTGTTATTACTAGCCCTGATTAAGTTAATGGAGTCTGAGTGACATGTACCATAAGTAGTGAAAATGCTGTTCATGTCTCCTTTGATAATTTATCGCTAGTTTTTGTGCAGAAACAGCTGTGTACTGTGAGCGGACACAACTTTATCGTGTCAATAGTTTACAACACGCATTCTGGCAGCCTGACGACTCCATGTTTATTATATAGAGCTTTTAGAATTTTAGCAGCTGCTCATAGAGTTTCATTAAATGGAGGTATTCTTTGCAAGCAGAAGTCACATGGCTGCATATTAAAATGTTTGAAGACAAACCACAGTTTTTTCACTGGTATATTTCTTTATTTTGTTTTTCTATGAATAAATGTTTGTTTTATTATTGTAGTTGTTACAGGATAACACCTTTTACTGTGGTCTTTTTATTTAATTACAGCAAGTCTTGTTGCTTTTTATAACAAAGAAAACAGGAATTAAAGACAAAATGCTTTAAAAACAAAGTTAGTCACTAAATATGTTTGACAAATATGTGTCATAAATGTTGAATAGATTGACACAAACTGTTCTTTTATAATTGTTTAGTTTGTAAGTGAATATTCCTGTCATGCTAAGTGAAACAATTATGTTTCACTCATTGTCACTGTCTTCACACTTGCAGAAAACTGAATATGATTACAGCAATTATAGAAGAATAAAACTTGGTATCATTTTTTTTTTATAATTTAAAATAATACTCTAAAGGCAGGAGGCAGCCTGGGAAGCTAGTCAACCATGGCAGGACTATTCAAAACTGGATTGTGAGTTCAATTTTGTTCCTTAGATAATTAGACTCAGTTGCTGCCCATTCATTGGAACTTTTTAATGTTTTTTTTTCCCTCACACATCACGTCAGGCAAAATCCTATCTTTCTAAGTTGTAAGTCATTTAAAAAATTGGGTCTGAAAAAAATAAGGTAAAATTAACAGGTGTCTTTGACAGTCATAGAGAAAGAATATCAAAACTGAAAGCATTTATTTGAATTTGATTGATTTAGTTCAATCAAAGAGAACGATTTGAAAGAGAAACAAAGCCTTTCATGTATTTTATAAAAGGGAAGCCTTCCCTTACCAGACAAGAAAAGTAATTAGAGGTTTCTGTTGAAGCAAAGTCACAAAAACATACTAAAAGACCAAGAACTGATTTATGGCTAAGTCGTAACTTCTGTTTCTTTGAATTAGTATTAATTTGGATTAAATCGAATTCATGTTTGTTTTTTTCTTAGAAGAGAGACAATTACGGTGGACACTGAAGGACACAAATGAGTTGCAATTTACAGATGGTTAAAAAGGTTCTGATTAATTTCCATAACTTTATTTAAGAAAATCCAGAAAAAAATTAATAAAACCATGACAGCTACTCGAAAATTGAAATGTTCTGCATATGTGAATTCAGTATTACTGTGGAAAAAGAACCTGTTGGTCAGACTACAGGTCAATCCTGGAGTCAATAGAACATCAGGGTTTTTTTCTCGAGATGAAACCATTCACTCCTTGCTGAAAGGCTGAGGAATTAGACCTTACTTTGTTTTTAGAGAATTAAACTAATGTGCTTAGTGTAAAAACAGATAAAAACCAGCACTCGACTGCTTTTCAGAAAACCTTTCTCAATCTTTGATTGAAACACAGTTCTATAAGAGTGTGTGAGACAATGTGTCACGTTTTCAACTGGTTCTCCACCCGTGGAGGAGAATGATTTTCAACAATGAAACCATTAAGAAATGGCTGAAATCCGATCGTGCACTTGTCATCAATGATTAAATAGAGTAAATATAATGATGAAGAAGAAGTACTTCTAGGCTCATTAATACACCATTCATCATTTTTGTTTCTGCCGAGCGATTCCTCTGCCCCTCAAGGTGCATTTTTACTGCCTAAAGATAAAAGGGTTCTATTAGCACTGCCTAAAAGACCTTGTTGCTTGTGCTTGTTTGGTGCTCCAAACTTCCTTTCAATAAAAGCCATCAGAAAAGAAAACACAATGAATGTCACAGTAATGCTTGACATTTTTGTTTAATCACAGTTTTCACTAAATAATCGTTTAAATAGGAAGTGTATGAGCTTCGTTTTTCCACATTGGTGTAATTAAAATATGCAGTTTATTTTTGCTATTTACAGAACAAGGTACTTCTTAGCTCACCTGAAGGGGGCGCTATGACACAGACTTAATTACCAAATTGAGATTATGATATGCAGCTTGCTGTGTGGCTTTTATTCAATTAGCAAGATTTAAAACATCATAGCTAGAACTATAGTCTCCTAAAGCTTGACTTGTCAGCTATTTATGTACTTGTCCACTCCTCACTCTTCTTCTGTGGTTCAATAGTAGGTCTCCATCCTTTGAGATGCACTACTGCCACCAGGTGGTGTATATGAACTTTAAAACTAAGAATGCTACATTGTTACATATCAAGGCAACAAAGTTGATGTTATGATTGGTTTTGATAATCAATTTTGTAAATTACATAATGTCAATTGTCATTTCTTTTCCTTTCAAAAAAACGGTATATTCATCAATGTGTGTCCTTTTTTATAATTAAATCAAACAAATCCAATAAGCAGAGTGTGGAGAGAACAAGACAACAAAGTCTTGTCTGAGACCTGTTGCCAAAATGCTCTGCTACTGAAAAATCACATGATCATGTCAATCATCAAAATTACACATGAATTGCTTATGGATGTTTCCAGTTGTTAGCCAGCAGAGCGTGTTTTGAAATAACCTAAATGAGACTGCATTACAATGTGTGAACTAAAAATATTGATTCTAGTAGAAGGGCACTTTAAAGAAGGAAAAAAAAATCTTCAATGCATTTGAGGAGAAGCTTTGCTCCTCTTGGGATCTGGGGCAGGTTTTGCCTTTTATGAGTGTGTTTGATATTCGGGACATGCTCCGGCCTTAAGAGCTTCATGATTCATTGCAGGAGGCGACATTCGCCCGTAGCAGAGATCCACAGCAGAGACTAATAATAGTCTAGCCTGACTTAGTATCCCATGTGACATTCTTAATACAATCTTACACTCAGAAACTAGTAAAAGTTGTTTCAGAGAAATATAGTCTTTGACGTGTCTCCACTTGAAATACAGAAGAAAGAGGACAGAATCTTCTGACTGGGCTCAGTCTTCACACAGGGCCCCTTTGTTTTAATATGAACCCATAAAATGGCACTTTTCCAAGCTGGTTAGAGCAAGGCAGCAGATAGAAAAAGAATCGTGTCACGTTTGGGTTTGGTTGGATTTAATTAGTCTGTTTGTGTATATAAGAAATGTCCATGGTTTTAGATGAAAATTCAAACAACCATCCACCAGCATTTTTAGACTCTGTCTCAAGGGCATTTATTGTTGGAAATGTTATTTTGCTGCCTCTCGTTGCCGTACAGTCTGTTCTTTTGCTAATTGTTAATATGTTTAATGCATTTAAATAAAACAATCGAGTAAATTAATTTAAAACTACTTCCTTTTTCATTCTGTCTTTTTTCCCCTCCTTGTATTAAAACGTCACAGATAGTCCTGTCACATGGGGGCACTGTTCAGCTGTAAATTGCATCAGGTGATATAGGGCAGGGATGGCCACACAAAATGGTTGCATCACACTCTCCAATAGACCTCAGTGCAATTATAGACTCAAATAATTAATAATTAATAGTTTTTTGTTTATTCTTTTTTTTTTTTGAAAACACATGCTAAGATGACCTGAAAACCTGTCAACTGTATGGTCATCATTATGTTTTTAATCTGTCTGTGTTCACATGTTTTGTTAGTTTTGCCAGCAGACAGGTGGTGTGTGTGTGGATGAATGCTCGTGGTGTATGTTCCAGCCCATTTCACTAACAATAACGTGTGATTCTAATGGTACGTCTCTCTGCTATTTTGCAGGCTTATGGTATGTCTGTGCTGCCTTTGAATCTGATAAAAGGCACGCGGAGTGTGGCGTACGAACGTCTGGAGAACACAGAGGACATTGACGATGTTGAGCACCAGATAGAAAACCTCAAGTCCAAGGTTGGTTTTTATCACACTGCACACTAAAAGGAAAGTGCTGGCTCCATATGAGATGACTTTAAATCATTAGATTAGCACTCACATCACTTTTCTTTTGTGTTTTTATACTTGAGTGCAACCTGCAATGAGCGTCTAATCACACATTCACTGAAAGGCGCACATGCATAGCCCTCCAGCTGATCCGTCACTCCTCCTTATCTCTCTGACTAGCTGCTCTGTTTTTGCATGCAATCATGGATGGTTAGCATTGTTCTTATCAACTCGGCTTCTTAATGCAGACAGCACAGGGAGGGAGAACAGGTGACGGTATTCATTAGTTTCTGTAAGTTACCACTGACAACAGCATGGATTTGGAGACAAAAGATCACACCATCATCCTCCACCAGAGCTTATATTTACCCATATAACCTGTGCTTTCCTATACTACTATGAAGGAAAGTCTGCTTTAATGGTTAATGGTTCTACAGAATTTCTAAATGATCTCATTATGTTTCAGAAAGAGCATGTTAGTGTGACCCAAAGTTTAAACCCCTTATAGATTGACAGATTAGATTAAAAGGCTGATTAATAAATGTATCTACTGTATTGACCCAAAAATTCTAGATCCAGAATTCAAACAGTCAAGGTATAAAAATATAGCCTTCTCTTTAAACCTCTTTTAATGAGAGAATCTGGAGTTTGGCAGCTCAACTGAACTTCAATTTAAGGGGTCAAACTGCTTTTCTTTTACTTTTTTTCACTGACAAATATAAATCTCTGCAACACACTACAAAAAATGGTTTACAAAACATATTTGTTACCAGGGTGAGCCTCGAATTACCTCTGTGTCATAATCATAGCAACAATTTTCATTTGACTGTTTCTTTAGGCAAATTGAATTATTTTCTGACTTTTTTCCTTTGAGGGCAAAGACGAAGTGCACCCTTTACAGTTCACCACTTCGTCGCACATAATGACCATTCACTGTTGCATTCATTTCTTTTTCAGTACCGTGTCTGTTCGAGCCAATCTGCAGGTTTTTGGACCGTGGGACAAACCCTTAGTAATCCTAATGAACTCCTGTACACACAGGAAATAAAACCTGTGTTCGTGCATTGTTAACAAACAAACTTTACTTTGAAAGTGAACACTAATTTTCTTTTTGTTCTGTCATGCCTTCAGCATGCGGAAAGAAAATGGGTTTTTAATGTTTTGGAGAGTGGTATTGTATTTTTCAGATGTGGCCTGAATTTTCTACAGATTCGATTTTTTTTAAAATATAACCAGCTTTTATGGAACACAATGCTGCTGTTATTTGAATGCATACAGTATATGTATGTTGCTGATTCATCTGGTTCCCTGTTGGTCTTCTTTTACAGTGTAAAGACGGACGTCCCCTTTCCTCAAGGGACAGACGCAACCTGCAGGAGCTGGAGGGCAAACTGCAGGTTCTGCACCGCAGGGGGAGACACCTGGAAATTGCTGAGAGGAACTGCTGCACCCGAGTGGGCAGTGCTCTCAGACCTCTCAAGGTGAGTCTGCATTATGGAATTGACTCTCACAGTAAATCAGGTGATATCATTAGCTAGACTGCATTTAAGCCAGTGCCGTTCAGTGGCTGTGTGTAGTATGTGAGTGTGAAAAGCACAACAGATGCTTTGGTGTTGTTTTAATTTATCATTTCTTTATTACCTTTACAAGCCTAAACAGCCTCTCTCATAAACAGTTTTTTTTTTTTTCTCTGCCCAAGTTTTTATGTGGCCTGCTCTAAATTTACTTTTAGTTCTACTTTATACAAGTGCATATTTACTGGATTCCCACGGGTCATCTCTTCACCTAATTTACTCTGAAGTCTCTAAGGGAGTTTCACATTTCTCAGGCAGAATCTCATGGTTCCCCAGGGATGAACCACAGCAGCCACAAACTTGTCTTTGATTTTCTTTTTCAAGGTTGCAAATGCCTGGCCTCTAATATATAGAATTGTAGTATATTTTTTTTCACAAGTTTTCTTTTTCAATTATACTAATTCAAACATTAAGATAGATGTTCTAAACCAGGATGAAGTGCCAAATTATTAAATGATTAAGACCCTGTACATCTAAATCTGCTATTAAAGCAGAATACAAAGATATCATCTCCATATGTAATCACCTCTGCCATTTTTTTAACTCAGTAGTACTAATTAGGGTAAAAACTCAATGTACTGCAGATGTAACCTTTTTACCATTTAGAAAGTAAAAGTATGACGCTTAACATATATATAACAGTATATACATGTATTAACATCCAGTATTAGCATATATGTATATACTGTATACACATGTGTATATATGATATATATCTATATCTATGTATGTTTTTATATGTACTGTGCATATAGGTTTATATATATATATATACATATATATATATATATAGGTTTATATATATATAGGTCAGCTTGATTTACATTCAAACCATATTGACTTCAATGTGCTTCATGTCTTACAAAACTGCAATCAGTTGTTGTTGTTTTTTTGTTGTTGTTTTATTTCTGTGAAGAATTTGCTGAACATTGGTCAATGCTTTCTCCATTGTATATAAACCATTTCTACCCTCTGAACAAAATTGTCCTGCTAATGTCAGCACAAACTCTGTGGGATTTCTTTTCTTTTCTGAAATTGCCCCTGGTTCTTTTTTTTAAAAAAAGAATACACCAATATCCATTAACATAATAACAGACAGAAATCCCAGGTCTTTACTTTTTGTTTATAAAATGACATGTTAGGTACAGTAGATCCTACTACTTTTACCCTATTTTTGAAGTGGACCTGACTGGCCCTACTGTCAGTCTCTTAGCTTAAGCTCTGCCATTGCCTTGTATTTTTTTACAATTTACTGCACTAGAGGGATGCACATACATTGTAAAGCAGTGACAGGAACAGTTACCTTTACACAAAGGGGGTTACTGCTAATGACAGTCTGCAGACTCAAAATTAAACAGTAATGACTTGGGATATTTATTTACTGTATACTCAGGCACTGGTGTGCAGGTGATAAACCAAGCGATTGTGATTTCTCTGCAGCACTTATAGCTTTGTGTTTCAAAAATATTGTTTTTATGCACATAAATTATGATGTTGTTTTTTTTCTAACAGAAACAAAAAAAAAAGCAAAATGCAAACTAATGATTAAAAAAACAAAAACAGTGTGTAATGCCTGTTGAAGAAAAGCTCTGACCAATTCTTTTTCACTGTTACATCCTTCACAGCAATTATGTTATATATTTTCTAGTTGTCTTGAAGGAGTTTTCTCATTGGAAATAACTGAGAGTTACACTTGGTTTTCCTATGTGTATTTCTATTGTGTAATACATGTTTTCTTTTTCCAGATATTGTTGGGCATCTTCTTTATTCTGGTTGCGCTCCTGTTTACTGTTGCTCTATTTATTTCAAAGTAAGTCCTTGTATGTGCGTCACACACTACAAGCTACGCTCTAACAATATGTTGTCAAAATAATTCTGAATTACACTCATTACTACAATAAAATTTTTGCTAGTTTGGATAAAGCTCTCCACTCAGCCGGCATCAGCTCTGGGTTCATAATCTTTGGCACCAACCTGACAAATCCTCTGAATGAACTTCTGTTAGTTCTACAACCTGTGAGTATTCTCTGTTTTATTAACTAAATCAATGATTATTCTCAAGTAAAATGAGTTCAGAAACATGTTCTACATGAAAAAAAAGAAAAGTTATCTGTATATATTTTAATAATACATCGCTATGTTAGAAAAAAAAATGATGTCAACAAAATAAAATATTTAGTATTGCATCCAACACAGATTTGCCAGGGATTGTCAAACTTTTAACAAGTGATCCCCTTTTCCCTTAAAATGTGTCTCTGAAATCGCAGGTTTTTCCACTGGATTATATTCTCATCTCTGTCATCACCATGTACTTCGTTCTGACGTCCATGGCCGGTATACGTAACATGGGCATCTGGTTTTTCTGGATCAGAGTAGGCCAACATCTCTCTTTCTCTCACTGAGAAACCATGACAACACATACATAATATAAATGCAACTATTTTTCTTATTCTGCAGCTATACAAAATAAGGCCAAAGAAAACCCGTCCTCAGGCTCTGCTCTTCCTCTGTATGATTCTCCTTCTGATTGTCCTTCACACCAGCTACATGATTTACAGCTTGGCCCCTCAGTATGTCATGTATGGCAGTCAGAAGTATCTTGTGCAGGTACGGAAAGTTATGTTTATTTTATTTTTCTTTAGCTCCAACAACAGGTCTTTTACATTTAATGTGGCTGGTAGTTGTCTTCATTTTATTTGTGAGGGTCTGAGCAGCAGGGTCCCCTGGGAAATATTAAATGTGATTTCACATGTGATTTCAGGACTGTCTAAGTGTGAAGTCTCTTAATGACTACTTTAAATTCTTTCCATTTATAAAATAAATGTTTGAGGGTCTTATTTATGTTTTTGTAATGTGGGTGTATGATGTGAATTTACTGTAGATGCCAATGTGTGTGCTATTGTTTTTCTGAGAAATGTTTATGCAACATCAATTCAATGAACCACAAAGTTTATGACTTGAAAAGTCACTTTTTTAAGCCCAACTGTGTGTGACTCAGAGGTTGCAGCTTGCTAACAGCTATTTATTTTTCTTTCACTTTTCTTGTGTCATAGATCCTTCACAGATTACGTTTATGTTAATTTCAAGCTTAAACATATTTGCGATGCTTTACTAAACAGATTAAATGCCTTTTGTTTTGTTTTTCTCCCCCAGCATCAGATGCCCTCTGCAGATCCTACATCTGGGAACTCCACTTTTAGTACAACAAAGATCTGTGACGCTGATGCACCTGAGGGTAAGTCTGTCATCTGTGCTCAGACTAATGCAGAGTTGGTCTAATGGTAGGATGCTGGAAGAACTTTACATTCATCATCAAACATTCATTTCATATAAATCTGCATTACAAGGAAGTGTTGGATTCAATGTAACAATACAGAACATGGTCCAGAAACATTCATCTCCATTTTTTATTTATTAGTGAGTATAATACTGAGGACAAACATTTTCTAACAATCAATCTAATGTGGCACATGCATCCCTGCCGTCTCCATGCCAACGGTCATTACAGTAAATCATCCACCAAATACACAAGCAGATGTGCTTGTGGGCTTTGTTATTATGGCGATTAATTCTTTGACCTAGTGTTTTCACACTTTTTTGCACTTGTCTGTAGTCACACACAATAGATAAGATACAAATTAGTACTATTTGTGTATATAATCATATTTTTAGTGTGTTAAAGAAAGAAAAACACATATTAAACCTAATAAACATGTTGATGTTTTGTGGAAATGTGTTACATGTGGGTGTTGACGTGGGTTTAGGTGCAGACCTGTGTCTATTGTTTGTCTTGTTTGATTTGACCAACCACAAAGTTAAAAAATATGGATAAGACCTTAACCCCGCCAGACATGAATAGGAGATTTTTCAGACCTGTGTCTATTGTTTGTCTTGTTCGATTTGACTTTGTTTTCATATCTAAAGTGAATAATGATGGAGACACAGCAGAGTCCATTAATATTTTGACAATGACACTTTTTAAAATTTGTATTTATTACTGATTATCCACCACTGTGCACATCCAAGTAATAAGACGGATTTTGAAATTACACTTTTAATATGTACAACCCTCTTTTCAAAAGTACCTGAAGTAATTTAACTGTCTACTCAAAAAGAGTTCAAGGATAGGTGGACAACTTTGTTCATTTATCATTGTTCATTATTTCGTTCTTCCATTAAGAAGATAGAAAAGTCTGGAGCTGATTCAAGGTGTGGTGATTGCATTTAGAAGATTTTCGTCCTGAGCAGCAACATGCGGTCAAACAAGTTTTACATGGAAGGCCTGAGTGTCGTCACTGACATTGTTATACATTGTTTTACTTTTACCAACCAAATTAAAGTCAGTATTTGTATTTTAACTAAATCCCAATTTATTTATTTAATCACTATCCAAATATTTATATCGTTAAAATTCTATCCTGAAGGTTTAAAACACAAGAAGGGGTGTAAATGTCATGCTGTCTCATAGAAATGCCTAAGAGTAGTGTAAAACAGAATAGCGTAAAAGGAATTGGAAAAGGAAAAAAAAATGACAACTTGGGTTTCAGTACAAATTCACAGACGCCTGTGACTTTTCAAAAACTGCACCTGTCTGTCACCTGAAGGCCTCCTGTTTAAAAAGTCAGCCAGCAGCTGCACAGCAGCACATTTGGATGAGTTTCAATTTGGCAAGAAACGTTTCCACTTGTCCATCAAATCTCCTCATTCTAATCCGATAAAAAAGAAATGTAACTGTCTGTTTACTCTCCCTCTTCTAAGGCTTCAAACCCTCCTCCAGAGTAACACTGTAGTTTTACTTTCTACCATTAAATATTGTGACATAAACTGGTATCAACTCCATAAAAGGCTCCTGTAGGGCGTCCCTCTGTAATAACCTTAATGTGAGAATGAATCAAAAGGCAGTAGAGGGAAAAATAAGGTAACTAGTGACCAATTGGCCGCTTGGTACACAGTGGTGTAATGACACAACATCTCGCAGAGAGCAGGTGCCTCGTGCCAAGCTCTCGTCTACTCTGAGGTCATTAACACGCCATTATTCATTAACTCAGCATAATGGAAAAGGAATCTTTGGGAATTAGCTGTCAGGGCCCCAGACAACCTGAATCTTTCTTTGCTTAGTGACTTTCACTGCAACAAATGCTTCATCCTTTATTTGCAGGTGAAAAAAAAGGATTTCTTTTTTTTTGCCATAGTCCATTCAATTATTTTATGTCTGCACTTTCTAAAGCAATTGCCCCTGAATCTTGAACCATAGCAGTAAATCTGTCAAAGTTCTGTTTTAGTATATTGAAAAAAAATTGGAAAAGTAATTTTAATAATGAAATCATTTCTTTTCTAATATGTCTTATAGCTGTTGCACAACCTGAAGAATTCTCTGCATTACACGAAACCATTCTCTCTATTCATTTTAACCGGGGTGACGAACAAAGTTGTTAGAGCTCTTGGCTAATAGCAAGAAGGTCACCAGTTTAATGGTTTCATTTCTGGGATTTTCTTTTCTTTGCAGGTTCTTCTTGTATTATATATATATACTGTTGTGATAGTATAGCATTATAAAGTAGTAACTTTATTGCCTTCCTTTTGTATTAATATAGTTGTTTTGTGATATCTATTAGCTTGACACTGCCAGAAATGAAATTATACAAATCATTAGTGTGTAATATACACTGTATATAGACGCCGGGGGGCTGATGCTGATGCTGATGAATGCATGTCTAGCTTTGGCGATGAAACACACCTCATTATTGTCTGTTTGCGTCCCAGTGATGAAAGTTTTGACAGAGGACTCTTTTCACGCTATGGACTGCTCGCTGTTTCCTAGCAACTTGCCAGGTGGCACAGCATTGTGTTAAGGAGCCTTGGGGAAGGAGACAATTGTAATTTTATGTGCTGCCAGCAACGTGTCAAATGCCCAGACAATTTTCAACTTGAGACTCCTTTGACTTAAATGAATCGTAATTTCTTCCTTTGCTTCAGGGAGTTCATCAATTTGGAGTACAGAACAAATGTCAGTCAGTAGTGATTTTAATAAAAAAAAAACTCCAACTTGTGAATTACAGAAAAATCCGTAACAGTAATTTTCTTAATTGTGCAATATCCACACTTGTTATCAGTCTCGGAAAAAATGTTTAAATCGTCACACATTAACCCATCCATGTTTATCTAAGAATAAATTGAATATTATTCTGTAGGGGTATCAGGGCAAATCCATGCCTAATTATGATGTTCGGTGTCTCTTTTAAATGTTAAAGATATGGTTTAAAAAAAAGTTCTTTCCTTATGTCGTGAACCTGCAGAGTGATATCATGGACATTGCCACGCATGCAATTAATGATCCTGGTCACTATGTGGATGTGTAATTTAAAACTCCTCTGTTCAGTGTCTCTCATACCTGGTCCAGTGCTGCCATGGTTTAATCCTGTGCTTCTCACTGGCCAATTATCTCCTCATCCAGAGTAGATATTCTATATCCTTCTTTCTGTAACATCTGTTTCTCTTCTGTCTATTATTTTTCAGCAAAAAAACATAACTGCATCGCCCTCATTTGTAATTCTATCGATCTTTTTTGTTTAACAAACAAACAAACAAACTAAAAAATGCATAAATGAAAACAAAAAGCTTCCTCTACAGAGTCTGGTTGTTGCAAATTAATTTGGCCTTTAGAGGAGCCAGGCTGGACATGTGTAGTTAACCTCCACCCAGACATGACTGAGTCTTTGTGCTAGAGCTTAGGCTGCAAACATTTTGATGAGGGGCAACTGTCGGAATAGCCAAGCAATGAAGCATGAACCAGACTCTTTGGGGTTGTTGTACTGAAAAATACTGAATGTCTCATGTATTTGTGAGCATTTCCCGCTACACTTCTCACAGCACACCTTACTTTCTATTCATTTTAGATAGAATGTATCCAATAGGGTTGTCTTGATAACACTTGCTTGAAATATTTTCATTTTTAGACATACTTTTTTATATTGGGTTTCAATAAACACTTTTGTTTGTTGTTTTCGATACTAAGTATCAGTACCAATGTGGGTGCATTGCTAGTATTTAAATTCTTGCTAAAGATAACACCGCTGTCAAATTCAGTCTGCAGCCTATATATTTGACTGTGTTTGTACGTATGTATATATAATATATATGTATATATATAGGAGTGTATTTATTTATATGCATATATATATGTATCCATGTGGCGCTTTGGCCCAGAGGCAATGTCTCTGTCATTGGTGTGGAACTCTAGGGTTCACCTCCTGGGCAAGTTCAAATCCCGATTACGGCAATTGGTACCTTCCAGTGGACTCACCACCTGCAGGCAGGTTTGGGGGGTTGGTACGGTGCAATGTGATTTGGGTGACGACTGCTGCCCCCGCGACCCGGTAACGGATAAGCGGATGAAAATGGATGGATGGATGGATATATATCTATATATACATATATGTATAAATATATTTGTGTATATGTATGTAGGTGTATATATGTTTATACATACTTCAACATATATATTCTCATTCTCAGTAACGTTATTAAGAGTTCTAGTGCAGAATAGCAAAACTCAAGATTCTCAAGAAAAACAAGATTATTTTTTTACAAACAGTTTTCTCCTGCTCTGTGAGTTTCAGAGGATTTCCCTTTGAACTAAAATGAGAACCTGCTTAAGTGCTGCTTTTAGTTGAGTTTAGTTTTAGTTTTGCAAGCAACAAAAAAAAAATGGAATCTTGAGGTGTGGGGGGGTGTTGAGAGAACATCAGCATCCTTAAAAGGATACTAGATTAAAGTGGCGCACTGCTCGTCTGAGGGGAAGGAAGTGAAAACTCCGCGATACAAAGGCCTCTGCAGAGAAAGAAACCACATTGCTTCTGAAATGCCAGTACACATGAAAAGGTTTCATGCATGTATTTGTGTTTGAATGCAGAGATGAAACCTTTTTACATAATGCATGTCAGTGCAGGGGGCAGCACTCACCGGGGGCTACCGCCAGTCAAATTGGAATTACTGTACCTGCACTTACACTGGCCCATGCTCTTATCTGAGGGTTGTAATGATTTCAAGGTGAAGCAGGTCGGCGGTGTACATGATAATATATTTAGGCAGGACACTGTTGTTAACCATCTGCAGAGTCCACTTGGTGCCCTTACAATTCAGGTGAGCAGCTGCAGAGCAGATGGCAGCGGAGTTGGAGGAGTGAGGAGTGAGGTTTGTGCAATGAAGATAGACTTTTTTCTTCAATTATCTGCTGATCCTGGTGAAGCAGAAAGTGATTGTAGGTTCACTCCCAGCAGTCCTTCACTATCTAATCTTTATTACAGATCAAACGGCACAATGCTTCAATTTCCTTTCTTTCTTTTTTTAACACAATGGGAAACGTTTGAAACCGACTGAATTAAATGCATTCCCAATCTTGTTTCTTTTTTTTCTTTTTTTTCTTTTTTTTTGCTGTGTGCCTTGGTTCTGTGTAGCATCCTGATTGCACTTTTCTGTAGTGTTGAATAGCAGGGTGAAAACAGTGTGACAGGAGCATCTCTGCAGGGTCAGTGTTAAAGCTCCAGATGGCTCTCCATCACGGCCAGACCGGCCACTTTATCCTCTCCTCAGCCTGAAGGACTCTGGTCGGGAGTGTATTTAAATAATTGATCCTGATAAGGAAGGATTTGATCCTAACCTTTCCTCTCAGACAGACCCAAGCTTGCATATCATTAGCACATATCACATTTTGACATTATCAGCATTTTCTTTCCTCACCAATACCCATTCATGCACAGGCAAGGGAATGACTCAGCTCAAGAATTCTGTTTTTTTTTCCTGCCGACTGTGTCCGTCGGATCAATAGCAGTTACGGTGCTAACCCCCCGAAAAAAAAGATAGTTAAAGCTCAGAGGTGATATTTCCGTCCTAAACTACGCAAGTCAGCACAGATTAGACAAACGATTGAAGTGATTTGAACTGTGAATCATAAAGATGATGGTGCAGAGACTAAACTGAGACCAACAGAATGTTTCTTTATGAATTATATTTGTTAGCTTTAGAACATGTTTAGAAAAAAGGTATTGACAATTGAAATGATTTTGCTATTTGTTCTAATTTATTAATTACAACTAATTAATCTAACTAAAATTAATAATTAATAATAAAAAAATTAATTAATTATCAATTTGGTACCATTCAATTTTAAACATTTTTTCTGCTTTTGAACTTCCTTTCTCCCCGTCTCGTCAACGGAGCTCGGTGGATTTAATGGCTCCCATCTATTTGTCGTTGTTTTTTCTTCCATAACCACTCGACGCTAGGCTTAAAGACTCCAGGGTTTTTCCAGAGCATTCTGTCGCTGATCTGATGTCACATTACCTCAGCGAAGGTTTTCTGTTTGTGCCGCTCATCTGTCAGGTGTCCACTTGAATTCTGACCTTCTTGCGATGCCTGCTTATCCGACTTGCTGATCCAGAAAGTTTCAGCATATCATTACCGGCCGGCAGCTACGGCCAGCTCCGTCTTTATTTGTCATCCTCCTCCTCCAGTGACAAATTAGAATGCAGCTGATGGAATCCTAAATGCAGGCCTCCTGAAGTGAAGCGTGAAGGAACTCTTCATCATATGTGTACGGCAAACTCGATTCCTCCTCCGGGGGCAGTTTTGAAAATGTTTGGTCGTCTTGCCCCGTCAAATCAACTTCAGATTTTTCCAGGCTTGACTGCTTCCCGGGTCCGTGTACTTATGTAGTTCAGATATTATGGCGTATAGAAAATGAACTGCACAGAAATAAGTTTATCTTTCCTAGATAAAACATCTTTATCACATATTTCCTCTGCCTTATCATTTCAAACTGCAACTTTTGAGAAATTGCTTTTCCTTGTCTCTTTCAGATCAGTGCACCGTGACCAGATCCTATCTTTTCTTGCACAAGTTCTGGTTCTTCAGTACCATCTACTATTTTGGAAACTGGGCTTTCATCGGCGTAAGTCCTGGAATATTACATTAATATTGTTCAACTTGTTCTAATGGAGTAATTTTATTATGATTTTTGAAGAAAGGGTTAAAACTTTTTTTTTTTAAGGCCTTCCTCATTGGTCTGGTGGTCTCCTGCTGCAGGGGGAAGAAGTCTGTGATCGAAGGAGAGGTGGAGGCCGATGACTCAGACATAAGTGATGACGAATATGTGCACTGAAAAAAAAACGTAATTCCTCAATCAAACGCACAGGCATGTTGACCACTAACCTAAACAGCACGGCAGTACAATTTAATAAACATAAGACAGTAATTAAGGCTAATTTGACCTTGTGTAGTCGCATATTTGTCCGGAGGAGTTATTGCCACCGTGTCTCGTGTGAAGTCCAGACCAGTTTTGAGTCGAAGCATCACTCCATTCTCCGAGAGGCCGCTCTGACCGATTGTTGTGTCTTCCTCGGTCGATGTTATTGATGGCTTCGGGATGCGGGGAGTGTCCACCAACTCAATTCTGGGCCGAGAGCTCCGCTTCTGAGCTGGTTTACGTTGACGCAAATTGGCCATTTCTCTTCTGGTGGAGACTCATTTTTATGGCAGCTCAGACACATTTGGAAAAAAAAATTTGGAATCAGGTGAAATTTACTTTTTCTCCCCCATCTCTAAGCAGCGTCTGGATGCCTTGAATGATCACCTAATCACAGTATTTATAGATCGTCTGAGTGCACTTTTCAACATTTAATGGGTGGAGGTAAATTGCTGCGCCCGCTTGTTTTCTAAAAGGCTAATTGGTCAAAAATTATACCTTTTGACAGGAGTGACATTCTTTAGATGTATTCTATTCTTCTTGTTCTGTTTATCAGAAAGAGGGTGGGGGAACCGCTTGCGAATTTGCAGCTTTTCAAACCTTCATATTCTTATCTGTATTACTGAGGCAGATGACACTGTACTTGCAGTACTGCACTGTTTATGAGATATAAAGGACCAACTGTAGCTCTGGTGCTTTCTGGGTTTCAGTTTTTAGTTTTTCTGAGTATTGTTACAAGAACTATCAGTAATGTAAGTGGAATTTTTTGTAGTTCCAGCAGCAAGTTTAAAAAAAAAAGAAAAACCTAAAATATTAATATATAAACATGGACCTGACTTATTGTTAGTGCCTCATGAATGGGAAGTGACACGATGGGCACAGGAAATGGTACGTGTTTGTTTAAATATCTCTGTTACCCTAACAGAAATATCGGTATTATTCCCCCTTTTTTTCCCCCAAATATTATCTTGTAATAATAAAAAGTTGGTAATGGCCGGGCTAAAAAAAAATCTTCTGTCAAACTCTTGATTTTGAATGAAATCTGTATTTAAATAAAACTATTTAAACGAGATGTTTTCCATGACAGTAGTGTCATTTTACCATGTATACATTTGACATTTTTAGATAATTGTACCTTTCAATAAAACATGGGCGAACTGCATGGTCTATGACCTTTTACTCGTTTGCTTATGAAGAAATTTTTGTCACGTTTTGGCCAATGTGGTTCCTTTAATCTAGAAAAATGGAACATTCATGATCACAGTACACAAGGAACTTTATATTATCAATGTAGAGGGGAATCATGTAAACTCTGGAGTGTTGTGTTCCACTTGTAATAATATTTTGAGTAGGTTTTGGGAGTGACAAATTAACTGGCATTCCTCTTTGTCTGCAAATGATATTTTCAATTTTTCTTACACTTATGGTTTCAGTACAATAATGTGATATTGTATATGCTTTGCTGTAACTGACATGCCACCAGCTAACACACATAAAACTGGTGTTAAGCTGGATTTGAGTTGTTCATTTGTTACTGTACATTTATTCTCCAGGTCTCGTTGATTATTTAATTTTTTTTAATTTTCTTTTAAGTTTCTACTGTATATAGCATTTTTAAGCTGACATCGGTTGTTGTTTTAACAGCACAGACATTACCACAGCAGTGGAAGAGCTTGGAGATTGTTCTGTGATAAAAGTTAAGGTCAAGGATGAGATGGTTCAGATGAAAATAAGATATAGTGGATAAATAGGAGAAAGGTGGTCAGATATGGAGGAAATGGACGACCCTGGAGGAGAATGATTCATGCACACAGTGAAAGAGGAACGAAAAAGGTTAGGCTGGAGATGGAGTGAGATAGAGGCAGATGATTCACTTCAGAGAAGCCTGAAAGGAGCATCTGAAAAAAAGTTTTTAGTCTTCTGGGTGGGTGGAGTTTTTATTGAAGGTGGAGAGCGGCTCGAGAAGATGGATAAAAAAGAAACTGCATGAATACAGTGCTGCTGTATCATCTGTCACTGTGCTCTTTAGAATAAAAGGACATATTACTTAGTTTTATTACTCACTGCATTTTTAATGCGGATAGCGCGTCGTGGCATTTCCAAACCGTTTATTTTTTGTTGACACTCATTCTTGTAGTAAATTTTGAAAGAATGCGTTGAACATCACTCCTTTTCACTCCAGTAGCTGCTGGAGAAATGAAACTTCACTCCCACGGCTGTGATGTCTAAGGGAACCTGCAGGGACTCCAGCACAGTCTGGTTCAGGTTCCAGCTCTCTGAGCTGTGGGTGAAGCTGTATGTGACACTGGGCGAACTGTGCTGCTTTAACGCGTTACAGTGAAGGTACCTGAATGCATCAGCCCTAATGGACAGTTACTGTACATGGCCTCCCACGCTTGATATAGGGACAGCAGCCAGGAAGGCTGTAGAGCATGTATTTGAAGTAAACAGATGATAGTATGTTCCACAACCAAGTTCATACTACAGATTACTACAGTGACTGTGTTAAACACTCGGCTGTGATTCGTTTAGGGACTTCTTCATGTTGCAGCACACTAATTCTTTTCAATTTGAACATCATTTTCCTGCACATGTAAGACTAGGTTGAAAACTTTTCAGAAAATAATTAAGATTTTAAAAGGTCTCGGATTTTGAACTTCAACTTTAAGACACGTCTGACATGGACATCTTTGATGGGTTGATATTAGCATGTTTATGTAACATAGGTAAAAATCGTTATCATTTTTTTTCTAATAAGTAGCACAATCCCTGGGTTTTGCTCAGAGACTGTGACCAAAAAATAGTTTTAAAGTGAAAGTGAATTATTGTCATTGTCAAACCAGTGTGAATGGAAGAATTGTGTGAGTCACAGGGAAAGTTGGTGTAACTTGAGGGACACAGCCTTCTGTGTGCGCCACTTGAGGTCTGTCTGTGATTAGGGACATAAAGTTTTGGTAAAGTGAACTCTGTAAGCGGCTGAAACACAGCTCCTGAAGTCTCCTCCTCTGTTGACTGATGGTTTCTCCAGGTTGATTTCTTCCTTCACTCCTCCTTCAAACCATCTGTCTAATCTGGAAGGGATACGCTCTGTCTTCCATCCTCAGTGTCCTCTGACGATGAGAAGCAGAACTTGTCTCTTTTCATTTCGCTCTTATTCTGACTTTACTTCCGTTATTAAAAACACATATTAGGATTCAGTAGTATTTTCTGTGGTATTACCTGCTCATCCTTGTGAAGCTACTTAATGAGTACGTAGCGCTGCTGTTTAATAAATGTGACTTTCATTATTACTCGTCGTTCACGTCATAACATTTCCTGTTTTTGCGTGTTTATTTCTGCTATGATCTACTTTGACAGCCCAACAGTTGGCTCTGCCCCACCAGTTGATCCTCCTGGGAGAAAACTGATCAACTCATTTATGTTGATTCAGTGTTTGCAGTCCCTAAGTAGGTTAACCTCTTTGCTCTGGTGGGCCTGTGGGACCTGTCAGTCACGTCCAAATGAAGACTTGTCAACATGTCCCCGCTCCATAATGACTTTGTAATGACAGCCCTCTATTTTGGTGACAGTCTCACCCTCGCACAGGCCCAGCTGCACATCTGCTCCTGTTTCCGTTGTCTTCAGCTCCATGCACTTTAAACATACAAGCACGGTCGACAGGTCCAATTCAAGCGTTTCCCCAGTTAGCAGATGACTGTCTCTAAAACCACGGACAGTGACGTCAGATTCATAGATCATTTCTTAATAGTTTGTGGGTTATAAAAATAAATTGTCCTCAAACAAGTGATTAAAAGTTCGCCCAAAATCTTTCATGTTTAAAGAAAAAGAAAGTGGAGATCTAATAAAACCCTGTGTAGAACTATATTTGTTTTTTCTTTTTAGTCAAATATCTAAGTGGTGAAAAAACAACAATAAACATTTTTATTTTATTTTCCAGGCAAAGGAGAAAGATATTAAAAGGACCAATGATCCTACACACATGTTGGCAGTAGAGCTGAATATTTTCACTCTAACGTTTATGTGTCTTTATCTTTGCATTGTAACTTTTACGACTGTCTGTAATTGTTTGTGGAAACAGACCATGACATCACCACTGCTTTTATTTGGTGAATAAAATAAAGGTGGGCTCATGTGTTTCCTAAAGCAATAAGCAACGGTCTGTAACAAACAGACTTTGGTGGTAAAACACAAACCACTCTGCACTAAATCAGAATCAGGAAAACTTTGAATATTTAGGATGCTTCGTGGGAAGATGAGAAAAGTAAAGTGGACAAATGTGCTGTCAGAGGATTCATATACAATATATAAAAAGTCTTAGGGTTTAGATGGGTTTAGATCGCCAGCTTTTCCCTGAGATATTTTCTTTGATCATAGCAAAAACATTTTTTAGGTTTGCAGTTTGATGGCAATATATTTTACAATATATTACTTCTAATTTTGTATCCAAAACATTCAGGTTAGTTTAACTTTTCTACTGTTTTTACTTGAATTTTTTCATTTTTTTCAATTTTTTCTTTATAAACACACACACATATATATGCATATATTTGTATATATATACAGTATATTTATATTTATATATATATTTCAAAGCTATAGAGTCTATATGTACTCTATATATACATACATATATAGTATAAGTGTATATATGTATGTATACATATATGTTTTTGTGTGTGTGTGGTATAATAAATGATGTTCTCACCAACAAGCCTTTCACTTCAAATGTATTGGTTTTAAAACTATTATTTTGTCATTTCTCTCTCAATTTGGGGTAAAAAAAAGTCTTGAAATAAATGGACTTATGTGAGCTGACGTTTTAATGGCTTCACGCTCATACAAAGACATATTAGTGAAACGTCTGCGTGTCAGCTGCTGGCAGCAGCTCTGTGTATGTAAATGGCCCATGATCAGGCCTGGTTCTCTGTATAGAAACACGCCGAATATCCAGACAGTGGGACGTCCTCCAGACTGAGCCCCAACATGTTGACATCATCATTTGTACAGTGACTGTGCAGTTTTAGATGGCACCGTTCTCCTGCCGTCATCATCTTTCACTGATGCTGCAGGTTTATGTCAGACCTCCTCCTCCTCTTCCTCCTCCTCCTCCCTTTTCTTCCTTCTTCTTTCCTTGGTGGGCCAGCCACAGAGTAAGAGAAAAAACAACAATCTCTAACCCTCCGGCCCCCTTTAATCTGTGAGTGATTTGGTCCAGGTTAAAAAATCCTCACTGATACTGTCAGGAGAAAATCTGTCCAGAATCCTCTGGGGAGTTGAAATGCTCCAAAAACTAAATCAGATACAGAGTAAGATTTATGAGGTGACTGGAGAAGCTAAACAGTCTTCAGCTGCAGTCACAGCGGCAGCATCACTGGACTGCTGCTGCTGCTGCTGCTGTTTTTGTTTTTTTTTTTCGTTTTCCTGCTGCCTTTGTTTCTATAGAAACTAACAGATTAATCTTGGGCTGTCAGCTCTAGCATGTGTTAGTTAAACTATATACGTGTGAAGATAATAAACAGTTCCAACTCGCACCATTCCATCAAACGACAGCCGCGGCGTTCAAGTCCGTCCGTCCGTCCGTCCGTGTGTAAACAGTGCATTGACCACAGTCGACAGACCACATAAACTCCACACAACCTCTGAAGCAGTACGAACATATTTCCTCTTTTATTTACATTCCTTTTCAAATGGTAACATTTTCTCGCTATAACTTTTAGATCCGCTTGGCACCGGCTTTTTTTTTCTTCTCCTTTTCTCATTAAAATAAATTGGCACAAGTAAAACATATGTAGACAAAAGTTTATTTACACCATACAACATTTTGTTTTTAAATATTTTATACAGAGCTGCAGATGTGAGAGCTTGCCGGGATCCTTCAAGCAGATTCTGCAGTATTAAAGTTGTGAAATATATTATTTATATAAAAGTGAGTATTATCTTTATTGCATTTAAAGCAATGAAGAATGTAGCTTGACAAACATTCATTTTTATATGACAGAAAAAATTCCTCTTTGCCTCCCATGTTTTATATTATAAAGTAAAAAGTGTAGTAATGGCCAAACGGACTGTTATAAACTTTTTAAAAACCTGCATAAATATATACATTGTGCTCCCGGGTCAAGTTTTGTCAAATCAAAACTGGACCCGACGAAGCCGGGACGACATGGCACGTCGTTTGCTTTGTGAGGTTTTTCATTGAGAGAAATTTGTTTTTCTTTGAATCATTTTATTTTACTTTTTTTCAGGCCAATTCCTCAACAGACAGTTTTGTAACACGTGATGGTAAGTATTGTACACCAGGCTGCCCCACACTAAGTACACTAGTGAGAATACAAAAAGTAACACTGATGTTTTTTTTTTTTAACCCTCTGCTCTGCTCCCTTTCTTTTTTTTTTTCTTTTTTTTTTTTTTCTCCCGTCTCTCCACGGTCGCTGCACGGTATTGGCACATCATGTCCCTGCCACACACTGTCACGTACGATCCAGATATGTATGCCAAGGCTTTTAGAAAAGTCTGTTGCTTTGTTCAGTTTTTTTCACACAACTTTCTCCTTTGCTCCTGCTTTGCATTTCTCCCCTCCACCTCACCCACTGTTCAGACCTCAGTCTGGAAGTCTCCTTCCTGGACGTCTAAGGGGAGGTTGACACACTTTTCCCACTCAGCCGCCGTCATTTCCAGTGAGTCCTTGGTGTCGGAATCTAGTACATTCATAGTAGCGTAGTTCTGGTACTCGCAGGCTGGATTGTAGCTCTCCCACGGATTCTTGTTTGGCATTGCCTTGTCCTGTAAACATGGCCAGCAGGTGGTGGTATTAGATGCAGGGCATCTCCTGTGGCTGTTTTGTTTGTTTGTTTGTTTTGTTTTTACATACGATAAAACATTACTCTGCAGTAAAGTCATATAAACAGGCGTTATATGGATTCCTACCCACTGCTAATTGAAAAATAATGGAGCAATGCTGTGGAAAGCATCAAATAACAAAAAGATAATGGCAGTGTATAAAATATGAACATGCTTATATTTACTGGGCAAAATTGTGTTTGTCCCCAAGCTTGGTAACTAGTGCTGTGAATGGGCCGCGTGTGTGTGAGGCGTTGGTCTGTATGTGCGCTCGTCGACATTCCTACAGACGCTGTTTGGAAAAACGGAAAGAAGCTGCCGCTCATCAGAGGACACAAGATGGATACTAATGTCTGCAGCCGGCTCTGCAGCATTTTCATTTAGAGGGAAAAAAGGAAAGCAAAGAAGTAGCACGAGTGAATTGTAGTTATCTTTTTCTATACAAAGGAACTTGCACTTGTAACTAAGCAACAGGCCTTAAATTACACTCTGCTGCAGGGTTGATTGAAATGTGAGAGAAAGAGGATTACACGCAGCCAAGAGGGCGCAGCCGGCACTGTCTAAAAAAAAATCTGTCGTCTGGTCATCGCCTCTGTTTCTGCATGTTTTTTTTTCCACAATGGAGAACATAAAATAAAATTGCAGATGGTCTGAGAAGGAGAGACGGATAAAGGCCTGATAATGTCATCGTCTCCAGCTCCACTCAGGTGCATTTTTTTTTTTTTTGGATTTGTCGCAAGGTCAGGAAGTATCCTCACCGTCCGCCTGAGAAAATCAGAGAATCACCTTCGCACACAGCCGGCAGTGACAGAGAGCGGTGGACTTACAGTGATATTTGTATACTGTAGGCGGTAGGCGATTAAATAATCTGCCATGCATTAATGAAAAAAAAAATGATGGGGTTGCTACGTCGATAAATGTGCATGTAAATAAAAGTGCATTCATGGCCTTGCATTGGGATGGATGCACTCTGCTGCGACGACATCACCACAGCTCTGTCTTCCCTGATACTGGCCTTGTGCAGAAAATGTTTTGGTGCTTTTCTTTTTTTTTATTAAGGGGCAGCCCCCCCCCACCCGCCCCCCCCCCCTCCCCCCCCCCCCCCCCCCCCCCTGCCAGCTGCTGGCAGGCTCACTGTCCACAGCAGGCTTCACTTCCACATGAATACCTCAGCTGCGTTAGCTGTTCACTGGCACAATCACACATTATGTGTCCTGCACTATGGAGATCTGTGTGGCGTGATTGGATGTCACCGGCTCTAACTGGCTGACAACCGCCCCCCTGGTTTCCTGTTACTCACCATGCTGCCCATATTTGGTATGTCTCGAAATCGGTCCAGGGTTTGAAATTTCTGATTCAGTTCCTGGAACAGCTCCATGTGTCTTTTCCTGGTGTGCATGACTTTCTGCAATGGCAAGGGTTTTCTCTTTGGTATTGACAGCCAATAATGGAAATGCATCTTGCTCTCCACCCCCTCCAACTCTGATCAATCTGTTAGTGTCATGGTATCCTGCTAATAGGCCAGGTTTGTAACAAATCTAAGTCTGCATATATGCACGTAACTGCCAAAATAAAGGAAACAACAACAACAACAACAACAACATTGCTGCTGATGCTACGACATGACATTGACAGTAGAGAAGATTTTGTCTGTTGACGTATCTATAACAACTATTAACATCCTTTTTGTGCCCAAACCATTTCTCCCAGACCCGTTTCAGTTTCCTTTACTTTGAGCGAGTTTGAGACATATATGCAGTGAAGCCTGATTTAACAATGCAAAGGAAAAGCTTAAACCTTCCCAATGTGGGTTTCGAAAATGTCTTTTAAAGCCAATAAATTAATCGTTGGTAGGAAATCAGACGTGAAATGTGCAAATGACTTTAAAAGCGTACATTTTGAAAATCAAGGTACAGCTAATGGATGGTCGGAGATGGAGGAGGAAAAAAAATGTAGATGGGAACTGTTGCCCTGTTTGTCAGTTGACAGCCTTGCTTTTACCTTAACTACACAGCGTGTCAATAAATCGTGTCGAGTCAAGGCTGTGTGACTGCAATAAGCTTAAGAGGCACAACAAGTACTAGTAAATCAAATGACAAACACAAGTGCAAAAGAATGGCTTCTCTCTGCATAAAAACGGCAGGTGCATGTGCTACGGGCAAGAAATGTCATTTCACATACCTCAAAGTCCAGATCGGAATATCGTGACTTCCGTCTCTGTAGAAACAAAACACACAGACATGGAGTTATTGAGTGGACAGTGTATATTCTGAGGATGTGTGTTTAGGCAGCTGGGTGTCCTCTGTGCTTCATCTCTGATCATATGTACCTCCAAGGAGCTCATGGATATTGTCGACCCTGTCTCGCTCCGAGCCAGACCCGCCGTCTCCTCCATCTCGGCCAGGAAGTTCTTAACAGCCGTGCGCGGTTCAAAGGGCAGGTTTTGCATCTGCTCCGGAGCGCTGGGATACTGCTGCTCCAGGTTCACATTCATGTGGTCCATGCCTGAAGGGCTGATGTTAAAATCTGGGCTCATTTTGTAGTGCATCAGCCTCTCGTTTGACAGCGTATCCATAGTGATGTTCATCTTGGTTTCCTCTTTCAGCAGCGTAGGCATGTTGCCCGACACTGCCGCAGCGGAGGCACGGGGCATGACGATGTAGTCCGTCTCCATCATCTGGCTCTGGGCAGAGTGGCCGTCCATGTCGTGGCCACCCATGTCCTGGTCGCTCTTTCTCAGGGCGTCGTCGGTGCAGAGGTAAACCGCGCGGCGCATGTCGGCGCCACTGTCAGCCATGCACTGCTCCTTCAGCTCGCCCACGCCCATTGGCAAGTGCAGAGCTGAGGGCTGCTGTATGATCACTTTGGAGATGATGTTGCCAGGCAACGTGGAGTAGTTGAGGCCCTCGGGGGCCTTCTCGTCCTCTTCATCATTGAGGGAGATGCGAGAGAGGGTACCAGTTATGGTGGCAGCTCGACAAGAGCCCATGTCTTTATGCAGTGCTGTAGGGCAGAATGATGGGGGAGGGGGGTGAGACAGAGTTTGACAGAAATGAAAGTCCCGTCACTGGGACTCTGACTTTGTTTCTTCACATGACAAAAGTGACGTCTCACATCAATCAGAGATAGTTCTCACTGCTGCAGAGCTGGAATTTCAGACACACTAGTTGATATTTTTTCAATATTTTTATTCTGTTTCTTTGGTGCAGTAACTGTCTCTGTACTGCAATACTGCTAAATATTTACAACTTAAGTTGGATTTATTTGAGACACACCTTAATTGTTGTGGAAACGTTTTACACATGTTTTTAACTTTTCATATTTTGAAGTGAAATTATATTTTTAGTAGTACATTAATTTAGTAAGTGACTATATATATATATATATATATACATACTATATATATATAACAATAAAAATAGTTGATCATATTATTAACATGTTTATATATATTATATATATATAAAATAATGCTCAAATAATAATGATCAAATATTGTATTAAATTATTACGGTAATAAACAATTTGACCATTATTATTCAGTGTGATTTATATACAATAACATGGTTGAATTGTTTAATAAATGATTTATATATTAAATGTAGTATTTTTTTGTTTGTATTATTAATATGATTTATTTTATTTTATTAAAAAATCAGCAAAGCAACTAGTTCATGGTAGAAACTTATTGTCTGTGTTGCAGCTGAGAGACATTAGTCCCACAGAGACAGCGGGACAGGACAGGACTAGTCCCTTTCATTCACTCCACACTCCTCTGATCCTAAATCTCATTTGGTGAATGAGGGTGACCTTGTAACGCACCAGTTATTTCTACACTGAGCACCAGTCCATTCATGAAGCCCCTTCCTCTCAACTCTGCAGTCCCAACCCCCACGTGAATGACTGAGAATTTTATTGCCTTTCATTCAAAAATGTCAAAGACTCTTATATATTTTTTACTAGACATTTTATTTTTAATGTCCAGTAAAATTTACTGGAAAAAACACCCGAGGTCTGGAGTGGTGATTCATCTGCTGCTCTCCAGTTGAGACCTTCATTTTGAGACTGCAGACATGTTTTTGCAGTCTCATCCTATAATATACTTCTAGACAGTAATGAATGAAAAGCATCTCTGCCTGACTTCTTATGCAGACGTTGATGTTGTATTCATCACAGGATTCTTTGTGACTCGTTAGACTTTGTTCACACTGCAGTCAGTGTTGAATTCTGACTTCCTCTTTATAATATATATTTATATAATACATATATAATATATTATATATATATATATATATATATATATATATATTGTTTGACATCAATGGTGTAGTTGGATTGAATCTATCAAGAGCATTGAGTATAAAGTCGCTTTTATAAACATTTGATATAAACCATCTAGATCAGGCATGGGCAACCTAAGGCCCGGGGCCGGATGCGGCCCATTCAGCTTTTTAATTTGGCCCACCAAACTTTTCTAAATTATATTATTTAATTTTATTATCATTATACTTCTGCCTTTCCCCTGCAATACCCACATTTGCCCAATAAATGGTGTAGAAAATGATTAAAGCATTTTAGCATTTCAGCCTTAATGCATGACTTTTACATGTCATTTATCTTAGTACAGACAACCCTCCATCTATCTGCTCCTGACCCGGCCCCCTGTGAAAAGTTTAGGAAAATTTTAGGCTCGCGAATCAAAAAGAATGTTTCCTCTTAGCATAAGCGAAGCTAACACGTAAGAAAAAATCAACATGATAATAAAAAGCAATTTTTTTCGAAATGTTACTGGCAGGAATGTAGACAGACTTTTTTTTTTATGTCTACTGCATCTCGCAGTACAGAACGTGAATATCCAACAGCTCTATTTATACAGTTTTGTTCCAAAAGTACATGTTTTTTTGTAACTGTGAAAAAAGTCCTGCAGGGATTATTGCTTGTTGCACAGTCTGAGCTATTTTTACTGTCTAACCTCCTTTTTCTGTTACATGCGAGGCGAGGAGGAGCATGTTAGCAAGGAACCATCTGCTTACCTGATCTGCATGCGATGTCCACGTCTTTTTCAAAGTCCGTCTGCGGTGTGAGACAGAGGACGCATGTTTAGTCATACTGAGAACAAAGGGTTTTTTTTTTCTTTCTTCCTGTGCTGTGTAATATCATGTAAAGTGTCCACACGATATGAAGTCATACATAAATAAATCATTTTCCAGGCTTTTACTGACTATATTGAACCACTGGGCCTTGACACCAGCCTGTTATTATGAAAACTGCTTCACTCTGAAGAGCATTAGAATATTAATAGCAGATCAGTGCTATGATGTGCCAGTGGCACCATCATGCAAGATGGAGAGAATGGTCTCTCGTTCAAAGGTCGTCCAGAGAGCAGTCCTCAATTAACCTGACAGAGGAAGTGAGAGGAGCGCAAACACAGACGCTGGGTTCAGTCAAACAGGAAAAAGAGAAGGATTGGGTTTAAGGCCCTGCAGAGACCAGAGGGAAGCCGAGCCATTTATCAGAGGGCAACGTGTCTCCACTGCATGTAATTGCAGCGCCTCAAAAGCAACGTGTGTAAAGCTGTAAAATTAAGGGACTGAAATTACTTGTTTTTACTTTGTTTTTAGAGCCTGCACTGAACTGAGTAATGGAACCAATTTTTGAAAAAAATACAAGAAGAACTCAAGTTAAGTTGAGGCTGCAGGGGTGTGAATTTGTATCATAAATAACCTCGGAACATTGTGTTCACTTAAATTGTAGAAGCTTGCATGGCAACAGATGACAGTGCAGCCTACCATTATCTGAGCATGGCCATTAGGAAAAGTTCCTGTAGCATCACCGCTGATGGGGTCTTGGCAGTTTCTGAGCCGACATCTGAAAGCGTCCTGGACCTGGGCATGGAGAAAGTGATCTGTCAGAAAACTAGAACTGTGTCTCAGATGGTTTTTTTGGGGGGAAATCTCCGAAGCCACCAACATATTTTATTTGGCCTGGATGCCTTGAAATCAGCCATTACCTCCCTCCGAAGAATGCAGTGCACCATCACAATGACAAATCCCTGCAGCGAGTCGAAGACTGCGAAGAGAACCTGAAAGAGGATGGAGCGCTTGTCTGTCATGGCCAGCACTGCGGACATCCAGGTCAGAGCCAGCAGAGGGAGGACGACACAGGAGCTCCACAGGGACGCCCTGCAAGACAGGGAGGACGGATTACAGGCAGGAAGTAAAGCAAGGGCACCGTCGGTGGTGACAATGTCCTTTTTATGCAGGGGGGTTGGGAGGGTGGGGCAAAAAAACAGTACGACGCCTTTATGTACAGGCAGGAAGTGGAAGTACAAACAATGAGACGTATCGTGTTGCATGTTAACGACAGCAGCTGACGGTGGTGTTTGATCTCCTGTGGATGTGACATCAGTTTACGCTGCAGTGGGAGAGTGTAGAGTCGGACACGCTGCACATGCAGAGACTCCCTGAAGCCTCGTCCTATTGATTCACAGACACTGACGGGCACTCACATTGCGTTGCTAGCCGTAGTTGCTGATAAAGCAGTTGTTGATACGACACCACATTTGGCACACTTGAGAGTCAGTCCTGTGTGCGGCTCACTCATCTGTCTGTGGGACGTAGAGACAACAGCATGACAAACAACAACAACACCGGTACCACTGTGACCCCTCCTCCTCCCCCCACACACATCTCCTCCCCCCCCAGCTCCGACTACACCACCCTCCTCCCCATAGCAGCAATAGCG